CGGCCGTGTCGAGTCGTCCCGGGGAGACGCCGCGATTGTTGTTGTTTTGTTCGTGCGCCTTCGCCAACAGCGTCAATCGTTAAAGTGCTCGCGGGAGAGGAGGAGTCAACTACTTCGGCAATGACAAAACACTTTGAGGACACGTAAACGAAAGTTAAAATGAACATCTTCTTTCGGAGAACTTTGTTTTGAACAATTTTCACGAAGATAAACAATTTTAAACAGGATGAAGGTTGAAAGCGCAGTCGATCGGCTGGTCACGTGTGGTGGTGGGGCGAAGTGTGGGTACTCCCACTGCTACGTCAGGTCAGAGTTGGAGGAGTAGGCCGGCAGAGGCCCTTCTGCCAGCAGTGGCGTGAGCCACGAATTGCAGGGGCTGCACCTTTTACGTCGTGAGTTTAGCGAAGTGAGATGTTCGTTAAAAAAAACACAACTTCATCAAAAAACGTTGGACTCTTGAGATTATTGGAAACTTTTATGACAGCGATACAACCTTGATTGGAAATTTTAGATTTTGTCAACTTCTCGTCACACAGCCACAACAGTTTTCATGCGGATAAAAGAAAAAAAACGCCAAATTGACGACCGAGCCGCCAACTTTGAGCGCTGTGTTTCAAACGCGACACATTTCCAAAAGCAGCTTTCTGACAGAGACTTAAAACACCAACACAGTGGACACACGCCTAAGGGTACGACCACATCCCTCTCTAACTTTGCAATCAGAACAACGGTCGTCAAAACGATGGGGAGGTCACGATGCCTTTCGGGATTTCACGTCTCCATTGTGATCGTAGAGAGTGGGGCATGGCGAATATTTCCCTTACCAAAGAGCCGATTAGGACTTTTGAATACGGCTGGTGGGCAACCGCGCACGCACGCACGCACGGGCGTTTATCCAATAACAACGCAAACACAACAACGCACACGTACGTGTGTGTGTGTTGAGCAAGTATAACAGGGCCCTTGCAGCGACGGGAGTGGACTAGCTTTGATCTAAAGTTCTCGTTTTCCAGGTTATCTTAAAGATAGATACCTTCACCTTCTTAGTTTCGTTCACCTTCTTAGTTTCGATCGGGGTGCGGCCGAGAAGATTGTAGCGACGGTCAAATGTAATTTTGCGGGCCGTTCCAAAGGGCGGCCGGGTAAAAGTCGCGTGGCCGCATTCCCCGCCCCTGACGGTCGCCCCCTCAGCGGATGCGGGGATCGCGTGAACAGAATCATTTTGAAAACACAATAACGGAACTTTAAAAGGGCGGTCAAGCGCACAGCCCAGGCGCGTACGGTTAAGTTTCTCGCGTTTCTCTCGCATCTTACTCCGAGCGGCAATTACCGCAGAGCACGGAAACGTCGAGAGGCGGTGAGTCCGGAACGACGCGCCCGTCACACCGCAACTCGGACTAAGCTAGGGAGCGAGCCTGGATGATAGTGCCTGGACGGACGACCCCAATGCATAATAGAGGCGCCGTAGGCTCCAGGCTGCCGCTGCTGCGGAGCTGTGTGGTGGGCAGCAGAGGACGCTGGAGAAGAGCCATAGCTCCGGTGCACTTTTCCACCCCCCTTGTCTGTGTCATCGCGTCCCCTCCCCAACCTTCCCCAACCTTCACCGACGTGCGTGGTGAATGAGCACGGTGAGAAAAGCCCCCCATGCGCCGCTCACAGCGTGGGCAGACGACTCATCCGGAAGCGGATTTACAAGAGGGCGGGGGTACACCGCGCACGCTCAGTGCCGCGTGTTGACCCGCGAAGGTTTGGCTCTCCATCCGACGTGAGTACGCCTTTGTAAAATCGTGTTTATTTCTACCCACAGCAAAAGCGGGATGCGGGGAGGGGGGGGGAAATGATTTACCAATCCCAATGTCCCGATGGTGGTGATGGTGGTGCTGATGACAGTGGCTTGGTGTAGGGAGGCCCTCATCCGGCAGTGGATCGGCAAGAATGGAAGTGACGAAACACGTTCATGTCCGCAAGAACCACCAATGTTTCTGCCTCCGGTTGCTAACGTTGTGCACGCACGACGTGGAAAACACCAGTCGGGCCGAACAAGAGAACTGAACGGGAGTCCGAGCCAACTCAGATTTTAAATCGCGTGGGGGACAATAAAAATAACATTTACAGACCCCCTCTTACCGTACACTGGATATTTCAAGATGCTCGTTTCAATAATGAAACCGAGGCAGCTCAAAACGACTGAGGTCTCGCAAGAAGCAGCATCGACATCAAGGCTGCGCCGAAGTGCGCGCAACCAACGCCGTGACGAAGAACGCCGCGGCATTTCGACCGCGGGAATAATAATAAAACAAAAACCGAAACGAGGTTTCCCACTCGCGGTCCACCGCTGTGGCTCCTCGACCCGCCACGACATAACAACAATGCGAGGCGCGGTAGTAAGTAAAAAAAAACAAGCCGGCACCACGGTCTTAACGTTACGACAGCGGGAGACGGCGTCCACCGACGACGGCGCTCCCCGTCAGAATGAACAATCTGTGACCATTTCTTGGGCGAGCGTGGAAGGGCCGACTGGGCGAGCGTGGAAGGGCCGACTGGGCGAGCGTGGAAGGGCCGACTGGGCGAGCGTGGAAGGGCCGATTGGGCGCGAGCGTGGAAGGGCCGACTGGGCGAGCGTGGAAGGGCCGATTGGGCGAGCGTGGAAGGGCCGATTGGGCGAGCGTGGAAGGGCCGATTGGGCGAGCGTGGAAGGGCCGATGGCGCGAGCTGCGATGCCTCCCCCCGTTGGGTAGCGGCGATCCGACGTCGCTTTCCGTTTTGAGTCGGGGATTTCGCCCGCCACAAACAAACCCTAAATGACACCGGGCCTACAGACCAGGACGCAATGCCCCCCCGGGGAACACACGGTTGGTGTAGTTTCAAGGAAAACGTCGGACGTCTAAATGACTAACCTGGGCTGTTAAGAGTTTGCTCTTCAACGTCAACGGTGAGTGGGCGTGCGCTGTTGAACGCTTGTCAACGTGACGAGTTCATTTGTTTGGCTGTGTCGGGTGGTGGAGGGTCTTACGACAAATTTGGCTGGATCATTACGCGGCCTAACCCAACAAAAACTATTACAAATCGTAACATTGGCTGCGAAAACGCACTACTTACTGCGTGTTATGTTCATTCAAGGATTTCACTTTTGAAGATCCTGAGGACTTTAAAAGCCAATGTGACGATGACAATGATTAAATTTGCGGCTGAAGATTTGCCGGACGGCTTCTGGAAGCCACGCGATCGCTGGCCGCAATGAATCGGTGACCTCTCTGAAGGGACCCCTCGTTTCGGACGCTTATAGCCGCACTACCGAGGGATATAACCAAACAACTAAGCAGACAACAATGAGCCTCTGTCACGCATCTGTCCCTCCGCGTAAAATAGTTCAGTTTTTTTTACACATTGTAATGTTTAGTTTCAGATATAATAGCATAACCATTTTCTTTGGTTCTTTCAGTAAAGTCACGTAGAATGAGAATAAAATAATAAAATAAAACAATGAAATTCTCACGGCGTTTCGGCCACAACACAAGCGGCCTTCTTCAGGTGAAGGAACAGTTTTGTTTTGTTCTGAGAATTTCATTGTTTTATTTTATTATTTTATTCTCATTCTACGTGACTTTACCGAAAGAACCAAAGAAGATGAATCCTTGCAGTCACGAAAGCTTTAAATAGAAGCATAACCATTCATGCAAATTCCATCTCTCGCAATCGCTGAGCAGCCACAGAGAAGCGGGAAGGCAGCAGCCAGGTGCTGGGACAGCGATAACCAACAATTATCCAAGCTCTGCGATGCACCATATATGAAGGTGTTTGTCAACCGGTTAAAGAGTATATATACGAGAGGAAACCAGAGCACCCGGGGTAATCCCACACGTGCGAGTGAGCGTCATTCTACCCCCTACGGAAGGGACAGATGATATTAGTAGGCACTTTGCCGTACTGCCTTCTCATCAGCTGCACAGCCTTACGGGAGTGAATATAAACTTAATAAAATGTTGTACATGGACGGGCAGATATGTGAATGAGGCGTACTATCCGCTTGGTCATTGTGTTACTCGCCTTCTCCACTCAAGACGCGAACGATTATGCGCGCGGAAAACGGACGCCAATTGGACGAAGGGTTAATCAAAATTCCATAAAACGTTTTTGCTGCACCTCGTTCGCCCCGCCAGCGTGAGGTGTCACCGCAGGACGCTCCTCTGCTGCGCTTGAGCAAACGTTCAGACGGGGAAAGACGGCAAACAGCAACAGCCGCCGTTCGCCAGCAAGTTGCGGCGACGTCACCACGGCGCTTGCCCCAGGTTCGGGTGTACTTCGAGGCCACGTGTCGGGGCTCCCACACAGGTCACGGGACAGAATTCGGGTGCAGTGGATTTGGCCGACCGCGATGGCTGGCAGATGCAGCACCGCCTGTGGAAACTCGCTGCGTTTCAGCAGCCCGATGCTCCGCTCGTTGTTGTGAGGGGTGGTAAGGAAGATGCACACGCATGCACATGCACGCATGCACACGCATGCACATGAGCGTACACGACGTACGTCACAGCTGAGACGAGGTGACACCCGCCTTCTTCATTGAGACAACACCAACGCTCAGTAAGGCGTGGCGTTGGAAAAATTAAAAACACCAGAGGACTCAAATAATAAAGATAAAAGATCCCCCATATCGCCTATAACAGTCTGTTGGGGCAAGTGCTGTTAGCGAGCAGCTATGAAGGTCGACACGGCACACGAAGGGGGTGGGTGGCCAGCACCACGCCCGGCCGCCTTTGTCTCCCTCGCGGCGATTTTTACACACGGCACCAGGAACTCCTCTGAGGCTGAATCGACCCAGGGGAGGGCCCAGGACTGGTCCAGGTAAATCATCACTTGCTGTTGGCCATGAGCAGGAATCGAACTCGGGCCGCCGGGTTCATAGCGCAAGCGTGCTAACCGCTGCACCTCTGCTCCCCCGTACCAGAGGACTCGCCCACGCACACAGAGCGTGCGGTGCGTCCGCTTGGTGAGGCTGCTGGTTAGTACCTCGGCATCTGCAGAGGGGACTGACTTGCAGCGGCCTGCTGTTCCAAGTCTCGCTGCAAACAAAACAACAAATAAAACACAGTGAACAAAAGCTCCTCACATCCGATTAGCACGGTTGACTACGTATGGTGCGAAATAAGTTAAACATACATCCACGCGCACATACGAGGTTACTTATTATGATGTTTGGTTATCCAGGCAGGGAGCGATGTTGCTGCTGTGTACGATCCCAAATGAGTAATTTGCGAGTATTTTCTTTGAGATAGCATTGGGATGTTTTGGCCAAATCCAGTTAGATTGTATAGGTTTTCGTTCAGCTATGGGGAAAAAAAAACAGAGAGCCAGAAGGAAACCCGTGCAGAACAGGGTGAGAACATTCACCTGCACACAAAGACACATATCCCCCGTATAGCCTCAACAAACTGTTGGGGCAAGTGCTGTTAGCGAGCACCTATGAAGGCCGGCACGGCACACGAAGAGCACCACGCCCGGCCGCCTTTGTCTCCCCAGTGGCGATGTTTACACACCGCAACAGGTACTCATTTTAGGGTCGTGTCGACCTAGGGGAGGCACCACGACTGGCTCAGATAATCAGAACCCGGCAGCCCGAGGAACCAAACTGGGGCTGCCGGGTTCGTAGCGCGGCGCTTTAACCGCCGTGCCACAGCTCCCCACTTGCACACACAACCTCTTTCACACTCTCACTCGCACACACCCTTGCACCCATCCAAAGTGGAATCTTTCACTCGCACTCCAACGCACGCACAATCACCACATACTCACAATCACACAGTCACTCTCCGCAGAAGCGGAGGAGAACACACAAACGCAACACGAAAAAGCGTACCAGTTGACAATCGAACCCAGACCCAGCTGCTGCGAGGCACGAATGTTAACCCCCACTGCGCCACCCAGTCGCACCCATGGACGTAGACATTGCCATACAACAAAGAAGAATGTGTGTCTACAAGCAGTGGAGGCTGGTGGAGTAAAACTATACATGTGTGTGTGTCTGTGGGGAGAACGACAAAAAGTCTCTATTTGTTTATTTAGTGTAACGTTCAGTTCCGTTTTAGTTCAACACGAGAGCTGGCGGTGCTATTAACAGAAAGCTTACACGAGATAAAAAAATAATTCCTTTGCTTTCATTCTATCGCATCAATACTTTATTAAATGGAAGTGCTGCGTGCCAGTAAAACTGCTGAATGAGCCAATCGCGATAACTTACACCGCCGCTCGGATTTTATGACATTATAAAGGGTTTGCATTATCCGGGCTGATTGCTTTTCTCCCCTGCCTGTTTAAAAGACTATAATGATTCATGAGACTTCCTGGCTCAATTACCCAGCTTTGTAAAAAAAAAAAAGATAGTAAAAAATAATTTAAAATACCGGCAAAACATAAGCTGTCCGTGACAAATAAAATAAACATTCACGGGACGCCCCGCGGGGGACGAGCGTCCACGTCCCCCGACGCGCGTCCCCGGCTGCACCGTGCGGCGCTCGATCATCCCGACGTTTCGCCCCGCGAGCTAGGGAACTTCATCTGAGGGTCGAATAGGTAACTAGAGAGGGGGCCCTTGCCCATAAGATCGGCAGTTCACCAGCATTCCTTCAAGCAGAGCCTGACTTCTGCTGACGAGACACTGCGTGTCGAAACCGGCCCAGAGTTGTGCCCGTCTTGAATCAATGCCGCTAAATTATGCACTGCCGGGAGAGACGCTCCCACCACGCGCGGTGAAACGTCGGTCATCACTGTGCACGCAAACGCACGGTGGGCACAACCCATAAACATGCCGCAGTAGACCCGTGTTTAGCCCAGCAAGGATGATTTCCAGTGAGCAGAACGTGTAAATGAATACGAGGGTGCTTTAACATGCCATTCGAGGTTAGGATGTTTAAACAAGGTTATTTTGTCGTAGCGATTCGCCAAAGTGAAGCACGTTTGAAGCCTGGTTAATACTGGGAATGCCAGGTGCTGTAGGCTTGTTCCTGAGAGGCATTCAGGAGGTGACAGTACAGCAATGAACAGTACAGTGAAACCTTGGATTGCGAGCATAATTCGCTCCGGAAACGGGCGCTCGTAATCCAAAGCACTCGTATATCAAAGCGAATTTCCCCGTAAGAAAAAATGGAAACTCAGATGATTCGTTCCACAACCCAAAAATATAAAAAAACATGATTAATACAAAATACTGTACCTTTTTATATTTGTATTTAAATTTAATATAAAGGAATCAAATGTATTAATTAAATGTAATCGTGGCTGGTGTGAGGGAGACTAGAGAGAGGAGAGGAGGGTTATTGTGTAGGACGACTTTCACTGTCTGTAACGGAATCTGCCATCTGTTGGCTCACTGGAATATTTTTCTTTTTGTGCGACTTTAACAAGGAACCTATCCAATGACACTTGCTTTTGCCTCCTTTTGAGGATTTCGCGGAAATGTGACCTTGCATTGTCGTTAAATAGATTCATCGCTCGCACTGCTACAGCCTTATTCGGGTGGTGCTTTTCTAAAGAACAGTCACTACACTTGGACACAAAATAAAAAAAAATGCTTTACGCACACACACGTGGTCACAACACTATAGTAAACAGTATACGCTCTCGCACGGATGTTGACTATACGAGTGAGGCACGCCGACTGAGACCGAGCATGGGAGACGATTACCCACAATCCCGCAGCGAGAGAGAAGAACCATTAGCTCAGTTGTGATCACGTGATGCTCGGCAGACAAAACGTATACTGTACGTACTGCTCTTATTGCAAGACATCGCTCGTTTATCAAATTAATATTTATTTAAAACATTTGCTCGTCCTGCAAAACACTCGCAGACCAAGTTACTCGCAAACCAAGGTTTCACTGTATTTAAAAAGCACAAAAACCTTGCTGCTGAGATCTGAGAGCGTGACCCTCTCGTATGAATGGGTTGTCTCCGGGCTCTCCGGATCTCCCCCCACGTGCCATAACTCGTAAAGGGAATTAAATTTCCCAAGGAAAATAAATATCGTTTTCATCACTACTTATTTTGACGGGAATAAACAAAAAAATTACCACAGCTCTCGAGTAGAGGGGGTTCCCATCTGCCGGGGTGCGTGTTTCTCTGCTTCCAATTAGCTCCGTCGTGTAGTCATCGGCACTGCCAGCGGCGCCTGTGGCACCCACGACACCACCGCCACCACCACCACCACCGCCGCCACCACCACCACCGCCGCCACCACCGCCGCCACCGCCGCCGCCGCCACCGCCGCCGCCCCCACCACCGCCACCACCACCGGCACGGGGCCATCTGTCCCACAACTTGAGCAGCTGTTCTCCAACCTGAGTCTCAAGCTCCTGTAATGGACATCCCCAGAGTCGTAATTAGTCGGCCTCAGCAATAACGCCACGTCATGCCAATGTCACCGCCACGTGCCCTCCCACAACATCATCGCATGCACAGAAATAAACCCACTACCGCATGCACCGTAACTACCATCACAAGCACCGCTACCCATCCGCACTGCCACACACGTCGCACCAACAAAGTATGGCTAACCGCTACACTATCGCTCCCCACACGTGCCACCACCGTCTGTATCACGAGCACCGCCATCACAACAGTCATGCGCGGGATTTAACCACACAAAGGTATGCACAACCGCATACAAAAACTCTCAGCCTTACCCAGACCACCAGCTCATAGTAACTGAATGTGTGCCAATTTCCGTTTAAAACCACTGACTCAAGAGAGTTGAGAAAATGTGGCCGTCCAAACAGACGGCAGTGAAACAAGGATACAACTGTAGACCGGTTTCATCGGCATGAGGGATCATCAGCACACCAGTAATCATTGTTCGCCACTGCCATATTCCCCTGGGAGACCCATGTACGGAGAGGACTTGTACCTTAACACTTTGCATAAATGCAATTAGCACTCACCTAGAGGCAACAATTTTGGGATGGCCATAATTGTGCAACGCTGCGTGTGCCGCTGCAAAACCTATTTGTTTTCAGCCTGTATTGATGTTTCCGTTCGGATGGGTTTTACCCAGGGCACACTACCGGGAAGGGATGTAGAGTCAAGGGTAGAATGCATGGGGTGTACAGTCAAGGATCAAGTGGGAAGGAAAAAGGGAAGCAATGCCACGACGGAGGTCCGCAAGACGGAAAAAGAGGAGGAGGCACGGCTCAAGATGAACAGCAGGAAGAGATGAGGGGGAAAGGCAGGAAGGGAGGGAGGGAGAGAGGAGAAGGAATGACCAGGCCAAGATATCGGCGACGAGAGGGTGATGATGATGATGAGAGTGGAGGGAAGAGAGAGAATAAATGAGCCAGACATGTGCTGCAAAGAGCTCTGTGTGTTGTCACAGAGGGCATGGAATGGTTTCAGAGAGAGAGAGGGGGGGGAACCACACATGTCACGTAATTTATAGGAGGTCTGAGCTGGTGGAAATTCCTCCGGTACAGCCATGGAAAGCTTCTCAAACTACATGGAGGATGGGAGGGGACGAGGAGGGTAAGGGGGGGGGGCGGCAGAGGCTCACCTGCCCGTCGCGGCTGATCTGCACCCTCTTGTTGTCGTTCCACGGGTTGAGCAGGTGCTGCACCTGCTGGAACGGGATCCCGCCCAGGTACAGCCACAGCACCCGGAACACTCCGCCCAGCGCGGGGGAGCCCCACTCCTGGCACCGCTCCTGGCCGATCGGCGACACCATGCGTGCGTAGCCCTGCCAACAGAGCCGCAGTCGCGCCCAACCCGGGCCGCTCGCTCGTCGTGCATCGATTCTACGGCGCGGAGTATTTTTGTGGTTTTAAACTATTCTTTTCATTTCACCAGGTGAGGCCCACCGAGCTATATAGCGACCCGGCCACAAATTAGTGCTCAACGAAATCGCTCATCATGTGGGAATTTGCAGCAGCCGAATACTCTTAAGCTTTTTCTAAACGCGGCGGGAAAAACCGGACCCGGGGAGAAAAATACACACGACCGCGGGAAGAGATAAAGAGACAGGCAAACTCCAAATATACAGCAGCAGGCGTCAGGGTCGGGATCGAACCCACGACCTCCTGTATACCAGGCGAGGGAGATAACATGTTGCCTTCCTTCGTGATGGCCCTGCACTATGAGAAGAGCGCCAACAACACCAAAGCCACCAAACATTTCAGAATCCAGAATCTTTATTCAGACTGCAGGAGGAATCCAATGAGCTCTACGAAGCTCTTTTTCACAGATGCCCAGTTAGGGCGCGTCGCTACGATCCACCTCCACCGCCCCCACCACCACCACCATCACCGCCACCCCTGCGCCAAGTGCCGCCGGATTCCTCGGCAACAAACCTGGAAGTGTCCGGAGCCCTGCACGGAGAAGACGAGGTAGACGACGGGGCACAAGAGGAACGCGCGGTTAAGTTTCTGCTCGTTGGCCGGCGTCGTCGACCAAATGCCCCTCTGCTGCGACAGCTCCAGGTTGCGCATGTTGCTGCTCTTCATGACGAAGTAGCGCACGGTCGCCAGCGCCCGCCGCGGAGACGGAGGCTTCGGACCCTGGTCGCCGGGGCGAAGCCGGCGAGAACGAACGGGCAAATTAACTCAACGGCACAGGAAATGGGGCCCCGCGAGGGGTTTGCGTCGATCCAAGGCGTTCGTTCGTGGGCACAGCACGCAGCGCATAAGCCAGGCGAGGGTAAGGATGTGGATTGGGGCACATTCCCAGCGGTGTGGGCTGCATGCATGAAGGGTCTTCTCCACAAATCTGTCCGCCGCCTGATGATGCCGGTTGTAATTGCTGGCGAAACGTCGTACTCAAGATTGTAAATGTTGTGGCTTTGCTCTCCAACACACCGGTGTGCTGTACCAGTGACGAATTGGCCACGTTCTGTTTACGCGACAAACCTTACAAATTGGCTGTGTCGGGTGGTGGCGAGTTTAAGGACACACTTATATATTTACGCGATCTGGTGATGTTACTGCGTGCGATGATGGTGTGTGTGTGATGACGACAATACAGAAAAGGCTAAACATGTGGTTTGGGCACATTCTCAATGGTCCGAACTGGATGAAGGAAGTCCTAGAAGGGTTTCTGGTGATGATGCTGCACCTGAGTGTGTCATGATGCGGTGTGCGATGAAGCAGGCGACGCTGTGTGATGACGACGATCCAGAAAGGGCTCAACACGTGCATTGGGCACTTTCTCAGAGGTGAGAGCCGGATGAAGAGAGTTGTACGGATGCTGAACTTCTTTTGCACCGTTCACAGCCAACCACGCTAATCGGAAGTGCGGGGGAAGGACAAACAAGCTAAACACAACGCGCAGTTCTAAATAAATGTAAGTTTTCAAAATTCTGGAAGGGTTAGGGATGTTGGGGAAAGAGGCACTAAGAGAAGGATGCTGCTTGAAGACTCGAAGGTGGCAGGGACAAGAAAGCTAAATGGATCCGACAGGATGGAGGTGGCTGTGATTTTCCACCGCTGGGCAGAGGACTAAAGAGAGGCTCTGCAGTGCGAGGAGCTGACACAGCTCATCTCCGCGCGTGGACAAACTTTTAAAAAAAAAAACCCCCGAACGCGTCACGTAAGCGGCGCGCAGCACACGCGAGGACGTCACCTTGGCGGCGGCGGGCGGTGAGGCGGCGACAGGGGGAGCGGCGGCGGCGGCGGCGACGGGGCCGTTGCCCCTGTGAGCGGCCGACCGACGATCGAGGAGCGGCGGTTCCTGCTGCTGCGGCTTCAGCTGCTGGAACCCCGGCGGGGGGAGCACCACCCTGGACCTGCCAACACGTCCAGCGGTTTCGCAGTGCGCAATGGAGGGTTTTGGGTGAGATTGCTTCAATATAAATGTGTCGTTAAAACCCGCCACCGCCAATTAGTAAGGTTTGCCACGCAAACAAAAGGTGACAATTGTAGCATCAGCTGATGCTAGTTGTAATTACTGGCGAAACGTCAAAGTACTCGAATTGTAAATGTTGTAGGTTTACTCTCCAACACACCGGTGTGCAGTACTAGTCACGAATTGGCACGCTTTGTTTACGTGAAAAACCATACAAATTAGCCGTGTCGGATGGTGGCGGATTTAACGGCACATTTATATTTATGCGATCTAACCTAAAAACCACTATCACGGAAAATATTGGTCGCAAAAGCCTAATATTGTTAAACTGGTTTCGGAGTGATCAGTAATCGGTGTTTTTATTTCTCCTGACAACCTCTCACATCCGTGTTGCAAGGATAGCAAGTTGACGATCTAAGCCAATGATGTATATAGAGGTCTATTTACACTCTACCTAGAGACCTACAGACTTACGGAAAAAAAGACCTATACATTCACACAGAGACCCACAGTTCTAGATTTGAAGCTTTCGTGACTGCAAGGATCCATACTCTTTGGTTCTATTCGGTAAAGTCACGTAGGTAAAAAATAAAACATGTGACTTTACCGAATAGAACCAAAGAGTAGAGACCCACAGATTTGTGTTACCTACACAACAACTGCCACCGACCTCCCTGCCCGATAAATAAAATAAAAATGATCATGGCCTCACATCTCGGTCACCAGCAACTCCTCAGTTGACTCGGCCCCACCTCCTCCACCACCACCACCACCACCACCGGCTCCACCACCACCACCGCCGCCATTGCTGCCACCACCGCCACTCTTCCGGCTGCGATCGGCCTTCCACGAAGCCGCCACCGCGGGTGCCGGGGGCGAAAACCTCGCCGCGGCCCCCCGCGCCGTCGTCGACGGCGCGAAGTGCGGCTCCTCGGGAACGATCGGCCGCGGCCGCTGGCCGATGCCGGTGGGCTGCTGCAGGCCGAGGGCCTCGTCCTCGCAGGCGAGCGCCGCAATAACGGCGCTGACCGTCGCCTCGTCCGCCTGCGACCAGGCGCGCGACGGCGCCCGCATGCGGCGCACGAACAGAGTGTGCCACTTCTGCCGCAGCTGCAGCAGCAGGTTCGCCGCCTGGCGGGAGGGACGGAGGGGAGCGGGAGGGCGTGCACAGGGGGGGATCAATCGCCCCAGACGCTGATGGAGGATCAATCGCCCCAGCGCTGTGGAGGCAGGAGCAGCAAGGGTTGTAGGTACAGTGACTCCTCTACTTACGAACGAGTTAGGTTCCAGAGGTCTGTTCGAAAGTCGATTTGTTCGTAAGTCCAACTTTACTCCTGTCGATTACAAACATGGTGTACGGCATGTGCACTAAACGCGGGGAATGGATTTAAAAGTTGTATAATCTCCTGTAGATGTCACTGGCTCTTCGCGTTCTGCAGATGTAGATGCCACCACTGCCATCTATTGCCCGGCGGTTGAACTTACGACTCTCGGTCCGAATAGGCAACTGGATATACGGACAGGTTTTTTTGTATCTCGGAAAGCTCGTAAGTCGAATGTTCGTAAGTAGAGGTGTCCCTGTATATATTGAAATTCTTTCGCACTGTACGTAGGTAGCCAAGCTTGCTAATTGGAGGTGCAGGGGAAGGACAAAAAACTTTACACAAAATACAGTTTAAAATAAAAACGTTTTTGGTTGATCGCTGCGCTAATGTTCTATAACTCCCTGCCCGTAGGAGTCGAGGAGCCGTACCCCTGGCACGCCCACAAGGCATTACAGCAAAGTGGACTAATCTCCGTCTGTTTCCATCTTTGCGGGGATAGAGCGTTGCCCCCTCGCGCAAGGCGTGGGTTTTCTTCGGGTGCTCCGGTTTCCCCTCACACGTGAATAATAAACACGACTCATCATTGATTGGCTACAAATATCTTAAAATAATAACTCAATGCAGGACCGTCCTGAAAAAGAGTCCTACAACTCCTGGATGAACAAGTAAATGATTATTATAAGTACATTTGTATTAATATGACGATGCTTGTTTACCCAGGAAAGCCTCGCCAACTCTTCTGCAAATTAAAGCAAAACTTTTTATTTTACCAGGCAAGGCCCACTGAGCTACATAGCTATTTTTCAGAAGGAACCTAGCCACAAATGATATCTCAACAAAGTGGCTTATCACGTGGACATTTATAGCAGCCAAATACTCGGCATGCATGCTAATTATAAATGTGGAGGGAAAAACCAAAGAACCCAGAGAAAAATCCACACGACTAAGGGGGGACATGCAAACAGCAAATATACAGCAGGCGTCAGGGTAGGAATTGAACCCACGCACTCCTGCAATACCAGGCGAGGTATTTAACATCTCGTCACTGTGGCGCCCCAGAGACACACGCACCTTCACATGAAGACCCTTAGACTAGCAACAGAGAGAGAGGGGTTGTAATTAAGCCGGATGTAAAACTGATACCTCGATTTAGCCAAATTACATGCAAAAAAACACCAGGGTAAAATATGATGGGGTGTTTGCATGGCCATCGGTAACCGGGCTGAAACCATCACTTGTGCACACCCGGTGTAATCGCAGATTGTGAACCCAGCATCTCGGCCATCTCGATGAAGCGCTCTGTGCCATGCAGTCAACTCTTAAAAAGCAGTGTAACACGTAGGCTCTTAGGAAGCAAAAAAACAACAGCCTCATCAGATCTTTGGCTTCTTGTCAGATATTTTGGTGTTCATAGCCTCACTCGTGCTGGGAATTACACTGAGAGATAGAGAGACGCACACGTGAACGAAAAAACACGCACAGGTTAATGACACGTTTCACACGTAGTAGTAGTAGGGATTTCGCGACCAATATTATACATAAAAGGTTTTTTTCGGGTTAGATCACGTAAATATAAATGTGTCGTTAACCCACCACCACCCGATGAGGCCAATTAGGAAGAAGGAATAATAACGGAGCGGCAGCCAAGGGACGCGACATGTCCGAGAGCACGTCCACCACGGAGGCAGATCGATGAGAGTTTGCGTCCAGGTGCTGAACGGGTTGTTGTTGTTGCACTGCACGATTGAGAGGTGGTGGCAGTGGTGGCGGCATGGGGAGGCATTCATCCAGCAGTGACAAAAGCAACTCTATGCATTCGTCATCCAGTAGTGGATATGACCATGGCTGATGACGATGATGACGGCGGTGGCGTCCCTTCACCTCTGGGTCCAACTTGAAGTTGATCCACTCGTCGAGATGCAGAACGGCCGTTTTCACCGACGGCTTCTCCTCCATCTCGCTGTCGCTGCTATCGTAGGGAATCCCTTCCACTGCACACGCACGCACGTTCACGCAAGACGCGGTCACCGTCGCAGCTGTGACCATTGGCCCGTGACCACAAGCCCGTGACCACAAGCCCGTGACCACAAGCCCGTGACCACAAGCCCGTGACCACAAGCCCGTGACCACTGGCCCGTGACCACCGGCTCATAAACACCGAGCCGTGACCTGCACACGAGCCAATTTCAACGCTTCATCTCTTTAAACACTACAAATTGAAAACGAATTGCTTTAGAACTGCTTTTTGTATTTAGTTTGTTGTTGTTACTCCACACTTCCGATTAAGCACGGGTGGCTACGTACAGTGCGAAATAAGTTCAACATACATACATATATACTTTGATTTAAAGCTTTCGTGACTGCAGTAATTCATATTCTTAGCTCTTTCGGTAAAGTCCGTTGAAGGGAAACAATAAAATAATAAAATATATATAAAACAATAAAAATTCTCACGACGTTTCTACCCGATGACGACTGTGTTATGGTCGAAACGTCGTGAGAATTTTTATTGTTTTATATATATTTTATTATTTTATTGTTTCCCTTCAACGTGACTTTACCGAAAGAGCTAAGAATATACATATATACTATTTTTATTTCAGCAGGTGTAAGGCCCACTGAGCAATGTAGCTCTTTCCAGAAGCAACCTGGCCACAAATGAAAGCTCAACAGTGGCTTAACATGTGTAAATTTACAGCAGCCAAATACTCTCAACGTATGATTCAAAATGTGGAGGGCAAAAGCCGGAGGACCCGGGGGAAAAAGCTACGCAAACACAGGAGAGAGACACGCAAACTAAAAATATACAGCAGGCGTCAGGGTCGGCATTGAACACACGACCTCCTGTATACTAGGCAGTGCCCCCTCTCTGTATAATGCTCCTCTGACTGTCAATCCATCACCTGCCTCGGTTTAACACGTCGGCTTTCACGACCTCATGATACGATTTGTAATTACTGGCGAAATGTCGTTCTCAGATTTAAAATGTTGTGGATTTGCTGTCCAAGACACCAGTGTACTGTACTAGTAACGAATTGGGCATTGGGTAGTGGCGAGTTTAACGACACATTTATATTTACGTGATCTAACCCAAAAATCCACTTATAGCGGTTTAACGTGGAGGCTTTCGTGACCAATATTATCCATAATAAAGGGTTATTTTTGAGTTAGATCGCAGTTTAACAACACATTCATATTTACTCCGATCTAACCCCCAAAAGAACCGTAAATTATGGATCCTTTATAGTGATTAACTGGTCAATGTGGAGCCTTTATATTGTCATGATTCTGCTCATTTTACGCAGAAAAGCCTCGCCGAGTCTCAAGACTCTTTTTTCAGGAGGGTCCTGCCAAGAATGGGGGCGATGTTGCTGTGTGCAATCCAAATCGAGTTTTGAGATTACTACTTTTAAAGGCACTTCGTAAAATTGAGTTTGCATTTTTTATATAATATTATAGAGGTATTTTTGTTTCGGCATTGGGATGTTTGGTCGATGCCAGTTACACTGCATGGTTTTTAATGTTTGATTTGTGTTTTTTATCCGCACGTTCTCCAATCCAGGCGTTCCCCTCTCTAGCTCTCCGAGTAATTCACAGAAACCATTTTCCTCCATGCTTCTGTGCATCTCCTTCGGTTTAGTTTGATTTTTGTCATTCTCCACGCACTCGATTAAGTAAAATAAAATCCACCAGGGGGCATCATATGACAGCTAAACGCTATGGGGTTCTTTCTGGCTGGTAAGATTTAAAAACAACTTTACCATAGTCATTAACAACATTTAACAGGATAGCCCTGTTACAAACATTTGTGTAGAGTATTTGGCTGCTATAAACGCGCACCTTGCTACAAACCTGGTAACCCGATTTTGATTCCCACTCACAACCAAACATCGGTGGTGAATATCTAGGACTCCTGTAGGGTCGTCTCAGCCTGAAGTGAGTGCCTGGTGCCATGTGCAGACTTCATCCAGGTGTGGTGGTGGCCACACCACCCCTTCGTGGGCCATGTCAACCATAATCGACGATCGCTAACAGCACTTTCCACAACAGTTTCTGTAGAACACAGGAGATGTTTATCTTAGGTGGTATTAGTGAGGAGCGGCAGTGGAACGGTTAGCATGATGCACTACAAACCCGGCGACCCGAGTTCGATTCTGGCTCACGGCCACCGGTGACGATTATCTGAACCGCTCCTGGGCCTCCCCTATATCGAACCCGAGGTCGACTCAGCCTCAAAGGAGTACCCGGCGCAGTGTGTAAACATCCCCACTGGGGAGAGAAAGGTGGCCTAACATGGTGCCGGCCACCCACCCCCTTGTTAGCCGTGCCGGCCTTCATCGGTACTCACTAATAACACTTGCCTCAAAGGTATCTTAAGGCTATACGGGGTATATCTGCCTTAGTCTTTGTTTGGTGCTGCGAAGTGTTTACAGTGAAGGCGGGGCGCTGTGGCTATTGTTGGCAGTGGTGGTTAGTGGTGGTGTCTGTTGATGGTGGTGGCATTCGGTGGCTGGTATTGTTGGTAGTGGCAGCGGTGGCGGTGACCGCAGAAGCGCCGGCTGCGTCGGCGTCGTCGCCGGTGGCACCGGCCCGCGGCGTTCATACCGTGCGTCGATGACGGTCCCTGGAGGGCGGAGGCGGGAAGGCGAGAGGGGCCGGCGAACAGAGCCACCGCCACGGGGCTCACGGCCGTGACGCAGCGAGCGCTTGCCAGGCGGTGCACTCGCGTCATCTCGCCGAACACCAGCCAGTCGGTGGGAAGCGCCGCCAATCCCTCGGGAATGCCCTCCTCCGAGGGGGAGGGCTGCGCACGATAAGGGGACACGATAGCGGGAGAGGGCAGGGGGTGGGAAAGCAGAGACGCCGACGTTTAAAACATCACGTGTTCGCGAACCACGTCGTCTCATCAGTTACTCCAATACTGTCTCATCCACTCCGTTGACCTTTGTGCAGCAGCGTCCTTGCAATAAATTCGAATGCTTCCAATTGGCGCTCATCAACTCTGCGTGCCATTTCACTGAATAATGCCGCCGCTTACGACGACTGTGCGCACGAATGTCTTAGCCGCCCCGCTCCCCTGCTTAAACGCTGAGCCTGTATTCTTTTTGGAAAACCTTCAAACATTTAAGCATATCCGAGTTAATTTGTATTAATTTTTTCCCCGGTTTCATCCCAACTGCTGTAAGCATCATGAATTGAGACAAAGAATCCGTTCAGACCTCACGCAAAGTTTAACCTGTACAGAGTTATTGTGATGCGAGTCAAGTTCAGTTTGTGTAACCGGGTGAGGTCGAAGGTGACTCTCATTTGCAAGACCACCCTGGGTCACCAAAATAACAAATAGCAAAACCACACCAAAAAAAGTTTAAGGTACAGCAATGATACAAAAATAAAGGCAGAGCAGCATCAACAACTGTGTCTCGTGAGCAACCCAGAAACACTGTATGAACATAAATCAATAGTAAACAAGAAAATCCACTCCTGTGTTTTTTGTCGGTAGCCCGGTTTTCTCCCAAACAAAGCCAAACACTCTGGTACAATAAAGGACAGACGACGATCGTGTGGGCCAACAGTGGGACCGGGCAGTCCTCCCACCACCTTCAAATACCTGCAATGTGATCAGTGTGCGCTGAAGTATGGTCAAACACCCGCTATGACCAACATAATAGTGTATGAAGGTCTTCATCCAACAGTGGGCTGACAAAGGAGCTGTAAATTATTAGCGTTAACTTAAATAATAGATCGTGGTTAGCGTGGCTGGTTAGCATGCTGGCTGGCTTGCTGGTTAGCGCACCGGCCTTGCACTCCAGAGGGTCGCCTGTTCGATTCCATAACCCAGGGGCGGGAATTGAAACAAAGTTCCTTTTATCCCCCCCCCCCCTCCTACCGCCAACCTCCGCCACCTGTGTGGTGGGGTAAAGTGTGGGTACTCACACCTCTTCTAAAAACATAGTGGCCAGCGTGGAAGACAAGGCCAAAAATAGCCTTGACAAGAACCCTCGAGGGCTCCCTCGAGAGAAGGCCTCTTCCAAGGACGTGAACAAGCAATTGCAGCGCTGCATCCTTACCTTTCATAACAATAATAATCGCTGCACTCTCCCGGACAAAAAATAAACATTACCAAAACAAATACTTCCAGATGAGTTAAGATAAAAACACACAAAGTAAAAAAAAAATCCCCATGGGGTTTCGAGAATCTGCCACCCTCATTCTCCATCCACTTTTGACCCATCAATTTCCGCAAATACAATATTTATGTCTGCAGGGTGCGGCTACTAACACGAGAATAAAAAAGCTCATTCTTTTTCGATTTAAAGCTTTCGTGACTGCAAGGATTTATCTTCTTTGGTTATTTCGGTAAAGTCACGTAGAATGAGAATAAAATAATAAATTGATAAAATAAAATAACACAATAATATTCTCACAACGTTTCGGCCACAACACAAGCGGCCTTCATCAGGTGAAGGGACGAGACTGTCTGGTAGGACAGCGCTGGACAGTCTCGTCCCTTCACCTGATGAAGGCCGCTTGTGTTGTGGCCGAAACGTCGTGAGAATATTATTGTGTTATTTTATTTTATCAATTTATTATTTTATTCTCATTCTACGTGACTTTACCGAATGAACCAAAGAAGATGAAAGCTCATTCTATTTAGGCAAGTGGCTTGTGGCCATGCGCATATCACAACAGTCACTCCAGAACATAATACCATACAATAACATTGGCATTTAATCGATTAAACTGAACTAAGTTGTATCTTACCAGGTAAGTCCCAATGAGCTAGCTCTTTTGCAGAAGCAACCTGGCCACAAATGAAAGCTAAACTAAGTGGCTATCATGTGAAAATGTATTGCAGCAACCACGGGGAGAACATGCAAACTCCAAATATACATGTGTCAAGGTCAAGATGGAACCCACGGCCTCATGCATACCAGATAAGGTAGTTACCATCGCGCATATTGTACAGGCCATCATGTCAATCCACTGCTGGATGAGGGCCTCGGCACACCGTGTTGGCCAATGCACGGTTGGTTAGGCGGGGGAAGGGGTGGACAGGGCAGTTAATGATATATCACTCACCACTCATGTTAGTAGTTAGGCATGGCTTGGCACTGAATTCAGGCTGCTGCTGGGTTCATATCGAAGTGCATTAAGCACTGTGCAACTACTCCACGTGGTTATACGATCTGCTGCACGTCAGGATAACACGATGCCACCAGAACAATTGTAATGTAACCACGAAAATGTATCTTTCCTCACAAAGAAGACGAAGAAAAAATTCCCCATACAACCTGAACAGACTGATTGGGGCAAGCGCTGTAAGTGACCGCCATGAGGGGGTGGGTGGCCACCATCATGTCCGGCCACCTTTGTCTCACCAGTGCTGATCTTTACACACGTTGACCTAGGGGAGGCCCAGGACCGGTTCAAATATTTGCCACTGATATTGGTGATGAGCAGGAATTGAACTCAGGTCGCCAGGTTCATAGCGCAGTGTGCTAACCACTACACTAATGCTCCCTACACTCATAATCACACACCTACACTCGTACACAAACTTAAACGAAAAAAATATCCCCATATAGCCTGAACAGACTGTTGGGACAAGTACTGTTAGCAAACATCTATAAAGGCTGGAACGGCACACTAAGCAGGGGGTGGCCAACACCACACCTTGCCACCTTTGTCTCCCAAGTGACGATGTTTACACACCGCACCAAGTACTCATTTCAGGCCGAGTCGACCTAGGGGAGGCCCATGACCGATTCAGATAATCGTCACTGGTGTTGGCCATGAGGCGGAATCGAACTCGGACAGCACAAACTCCACGGCAACAGAAAGTCTCCCGAGTCGGGAATCAAACCCTTCTGGCTACGAGGTTCGACCTTATCCCCCCAACTGCGCCGCTCCAGTCTTCCCCCCTGCCACGGACGGAGCTGCAGGACACGCACGCAAGGTGGTACCTTCTTGAAGCCGGGCTGGTCGAGCACGGAGGAAGGGTGGAGGCGCACCCTACGCTCGAGCTGCGTGGTGAGCGTTTGGGTGGTGCGATCCACGTGGATCACGTTGGGGTAGAGCCCCGCCACCAGCGCCGCCTTCACCACCGGCCAGTTCTCCGAGTTCGTGTTGAGGTCGCGGATGTCGCCCCCGCCTCTCGCCCGCACGAAACCTGACGTGCGATTATTATTATTATTGGTGGTATGACTTGTCAGTGACGCTGGTTTACACAGGAAAGATTATTTTAAAACTTAACAGTAAAAACATTTATTTGACCAGTTAAGGCCCCACTGAACTATATAGCTATTTTTCAGACGCAACCTGGCCACAAATGATAGCGCAACAGTGGCTTATCATCATGCAGAAATTTATAGCAGTAGCCAAATACTCTAAAAGTGTAATATTGATGCTAAATGTGGAGGGAAAAACTGGAGGACCTGGAGAAAAATCCGCACGACCACGGGGAGAGAGACACGCAAGCTCCATATATACAGCAGCAGGCATCAGGGTCGGAATCGAACCCACGACCTCCTGCAAAACCAGCGAGGTAGTTAAAATATTGCCACCGTGGCACAGAAGGGTCCTGCCAAGCTTTTTCAGTAGAGGTGCGATGATGTTGCTGCTGTGTGTGTGATCCCAATTGAGTAATTTATAGGTAAACCAGCAGTTGTTTCCCATTCTTCGCACGTAAATTAATAGTTTAGTCCAACTTTTAAGTTTATTCAATGAACGAATATAGATGATGATGATGTTGCATGGTTCTTTGCGTTACCCAAAAAACAACGAGTGATTTTGGCAACTCGGGAAGGGAATGACGTGGCGAGCTGAAAATAGTCGCGTTCACTTAGACATTGCAGAGACAGAAGCTGTGCAAATGTCATGACGTCAGAGCTCAGCGTTGGGATAGTTTTTGCCGCGGGTTGACGCCACACACTTCATGGTCATTTCCCCCCCAAAATACACAAGTCTATTTTTATACTTTTTCCACTGTGTACATTATGGGAGCTACCCACATGCCAAATTTCAAGTTTGTAGCATGTTGGGAAGTATGCTAAACATTTCGAACAGACACATCCACAAATTTCCTATTTTTATATAGATTGTTTTACAGCATTGGGATGTTTGATCAATATCAGTTACATTTTATGTTTATATTTATTGACTTACTATGGGAGGAAATCAGAGAAACCAGATGAAACCGTAAAAACATATAAACTGCACACAGAAAGTGCAAATTTTCAACAATAAGAAGAGACAGACTACAAATATAGTTGGAGTTTTTTTTCTTAAATCCATCCTCAATATCATTCCTATCGTGCTATAAGTATTGTGACGTGAGATGCGTAATCCATTCAGAAGTCTCTCAACCTTTCGTGACGGAGAACGACCAATGGAGGCGGATATCACAGAGCTACAACAGAGCTCCATTTCAAGTGACCTCCGGTTCACACCCACTCTGTTATATTAGAGTAATATTCGTTGCACGACGGTCAAACTGAAATGTAAAATTCTCAAGAGCTGCAATTTTAGCCAAATTAAGTGCAGAAGCAAATTTATTGGATTTTTTTGTGTGCAGTCATTTGGAGACCAAACTTGCTACACTTGAGAAGCCAGTTTAATCACAACTCAGTCTGTGAGGCTATGGATCTCTTTGTAATGTCTATGGGTCTCTGTAAATCTATGGGTCTCTATGCGAGTCATGAGTAGCCGGGATGAGACCTTTAGCTTCCCTACACTTGAGAACCCGGTATTATTACAACTCAGTCTGTGTGAGACTATGGATCTCAATCTAATGTCTATGGGTCTCCATAAATCTATGGGCCTCTATGCGAGTCTGAGCGCCTATGCGAGTCTACGGGTATCTATGTGAGTCTATCGGTCTCTGTGTTAGTCATTAGTAGCCGGGCTAAGACCAAGAACTCGCTACACTTGAGAACCCAGTTTAATCAGACAGGAAGCCGAAACCTGGATTGGAACCGCAGGATCACAGCGGCGCCGGCTGGGCGCTCTGAAACTTTCCGAGCCACTCGCGTCGACGATGCAGCCCGTCTTACCGGACGCACGCAGCTGACCCAACAGCTGCGACCTCATGCCGAAGATCATCTCCATGGTGCCCTGGCTCAGGAAGCTTCGCTCGCAGAACGAGCGCTCCCAGCCGTCGCCGCACGCCTTCTGCCACGCCTGGCAGGACGGAGACACAGAGACAGCGCACCAGAAATTAACTTCTCAGTGACGGGGCAAGTTTGGTTTTTTTCCCACAGTGTCTTTGTTTTTATATTCTTAGTTTTTTCGGTAAAGTCACGTTGAAGAGAAACAACAAAATAATAAAATATATATAAAACAATAAAAATTTCTCACGACGTTTCGACCATAACTCAAACGGTCGTTTGAGTTTTTTTGGTAAAGTCACGTTATATTTTTTATTATTTTGTTGTTTCTCTTCAACGTGACTTTACCGAAAAAACTAAGAATATGAATTACTGCAGTCACGAAAGCTTTAAATCAAAAGTGTCTTTGTTCTTTAGCAAAGAGGCGGTGACGTGGCCCAGCAGGAGTGCGCTCGGCACTTGGAGCAGAGGTTCACGGTTCAAATCCGGCGGGCCATCCCTGATTTTTGGTTGCGAGATGTTAACTACCTCGCCTGGTTTAAAGGATGTCGTGGGTTTGCGCCTGACCCTGATGCCTGCTGTATATTTGGAGTTTGCATGTTCTCCCCGTGGTCGTGTGAAATCTTCTCCGGCTTTTCTCTCCACATCTAGAAACATGTATTTCTAGTATTTGGCTGCAAAAAATTTCCACATGATAAGCCACTTCATTGGGTTATCATTTGCGGCCAGGTCCCTTCTGAAAAAATAAGCTATATCGCTCAGTGGGCCTCACTTGGTAAAATATTTTTTTGTTACTGCGGTGTGTATTAATCGTAAAATACACGCCACCTGCCTTAGTGGACGTTACAGATACCCTCGGACGTCTTAAAAAAAATGGGTAGGCCATTGTATGCCTGCGTCATGCTGCCTGTGCGTCATGCTCCAAAATGCGCCGTTTTCAAAATATTACACCACAACTGGGATCACACGTACAGGAGCAAAATCGATGCCCACTATAGGCAGACTAATCCCCAACCGCTACCTGTGCCACCCCCACCTGGAATGCCCGGAGCAGGGCCATGTGATCGCTGAACGTGGAGGCGGCGAGCTTCTTGCGCGAGTAGGCGGCGGCGCGTTTGTGCGCCGGCTGGCTGGGCAGCGTGAAGGGGTCGCGGTAGGCGAGCGAGCAGGCGATGGTGAGCACCGGGTCGAGGCACTTGAGCACGACGCCGTAGAGCACCATCTTGCCCAGGTGAGGCTCCACGGGCAGGTCTGATAGGTGATGACCCAGTTCCGTCAAGTCCTCCCAGTTGTCCATCGCGTCGATCGCCTGCGTGTGTGCACGAACATGCGCGTGTCCGAGTTCGTGCCTGTGCGTCGTTAGCCATGGCACTTGGGTCTGCCCCGTGACTTCCTTCCAGTGGGCGTTCCGACACTTCACGTGGCCTTAAAAAGCACCGTGGTGATGTCACCGCCACTCGGTGGCGAACGGCAGTTGTTGTCGTCGTCATTAGTGGTAGCGCAGTTGTTATCGTGCGAACCACGAACCCGGCGACCCGAGTTTGATTCCCGCTCGCGGCCAACAACGCTGACGATTATCTGAACCGATCCTGAGCCTCCTCGAAATGGCCTAAAATGAGTACCAGGTGCAGTGTGCAAACATAACTACTCGGGAGACAAAGATGGCCAGGTGTGGTGCTGGCAACCCACCCCCATGTGTGCAGTGCCGGCTTTCATGTATGCTTGCTAACAGCCCTTGCCCCAAAATGTCTGATAAGACTATATGGGGGATCTTTGTCTCTTGTGTCGTTGGCACACTTGCTTTACGAACCCAGCAACCAGGGTTTGTTTTGATCGCCGTATATTGCGACTCAACTGGTTGTTGGGTCAGGCCACGTGAATTTGCACACACACGGGGGACAATTATTTCGTTTGACCGTGTCAGGCAGTGGAGGGTTTTTAACGTCACAAACGTGGCCAGACCGCGACACGGCCTAAACCCAGACAACAACAACAACAACAAAATAAATCGCGAACCAGCAACTGCTGGAAGGCGATGTTACAAACAGAGAGACGAGAGGCAACACGGGCGCCGTCGTCTGGGCGAGGCTTTGCGAAGGCCGCCCCTCCCCACCGCACCTTGAGGATCTGCAGGGCGTTGCGGACGATGAGATTGGGCGGGGGATCCGGAGCCTTGGCCAGGAACTCGGCGATCGGCATGCAGGTCGGCGCGAGCAGCTTGGTGTGCAGGCACAGCTCCTGCAGCAGCAGCAGCAGGGGCAGCAGCAGCAGCAGCAACAGCAGCAGCAGGGGCAGCAGCAGCAGCAGCAGGGGCAGAGGTGGTGCAGGTGATCCGCAAAACAAATAGCACCATGACGGCACCACCCTCCCGTTTCTACTTTATTATTTAAAAGCGTTGGAATAATAACACTTTCGTTTTGTATTAGCGTCATTTATGCTAATAGCATCCTATAACGCTACACATTAATGATTTATAAGGACCAAATCCCTTATAAACCCACTACCAGAAAATGAAAACCCTATTACCAGGAAAAATCTAAAATGAATAAAGGAATGAATAAATGGCACCACCACGAAAAGCACAAACACCAACGTGACAACGCAACCTATAAAACATCACAACTTCAAAACGGTCGTCTTTTCACTTTGGTTTCTACGCGGTGGTTATCGCTTGGTGGGCAGTGCGGATCATTATCCACTATATTTCACGACAGTCTAGATTCTCCTATAACACGTGTTTTCATGACGTGAATTGGGCATAATTCGACGAATGCACGCATTAAGGAACGCATTTTTTAATAACGCGGATGCGAATTGAATATAACGCAATCCAGCGAACGGAACTACGTCGCGTGAGTAGGAACAAGCGGTTTGCACGGCTGCCTCGGCGTAGCATCGCACAAGGTGCCGGGATGCTGCTGGAATAGTATATTCTAGCAAATCAACCTGATGATGCTGGAACGTAATTACCAGCTAAAGGTCATACTCAATTTGTAATTGTTGTGGATTTACTCTTCAACACACCGGTGGGCTGAAGTAGTAACTAATTGGCACGTTTTGTTCATGTGACAAACCTTACTGGCTGTGTCGGATGGAGGAGGGTGTATGACACGCGTTGCTATTATGCTTACGTGGCGACCTGAACCAAATTTTATTATTAATTGTTAATTATCCCCACTGTACACAATGCAAACCGTTTCCTACACTCACGTTATACGCATCATACTGTATGCGTTAGTTTCCGCGATCTGACAAGATTTGGCGCATTCCGGGCACTCTTGGTCAGAGGCTATAATGCTGCTAATGATGATGATGAAGATGGCGATGAGGAAGATGGCGATGATGAACGTTTATCCCTGGGACGCTGAAGACAGGCACAGCGAGACGAGCGTCACGCCGCTGACGGTGTCCACCGGCCGTGGCTTCATGAGGACCGTCGAAAAAGCTGTTTAGGATGGGGGCCTACGTCAGCCTGAAGGCCCTCGACGGCACGCGATGCCGCCCCCACCCCCCCCCCCCCCCCCCGGGTGCGCCTTCTGGCTGTCTGTGGCCTGCGTCGTTCGTACCTGCAGTGGCTCTCGAAGCAGCTCGGGGGTCTGGAACTCCAGCATGTTCTGGAAGCGCACCTTGCTGAACAGGTGGAAGCAGATGCCGGGGCGACACCTCCCAGCCCTGCCCGACAAAACATAATAAAGACAAAAATTCCCCATTTTTAGCCCACGCATTCATTGTTTCTACAAATCATGCTGTGCATGCGGTCTACGGGACCAATACTTCCGTCTCATCCACGCTGTGTCCCACCACTCACAAGTGCGGGTCGCAACAACACAAAGATTCCCAATTGAGTCGCAATACACGGCAATGAAAACAAACCCGGGTTGCTCGGTTCGTAGCGCACGCGTGCTAATGACAGAAATACAAAGATCCCCCGTATAGCCTTTAACAGACGGCAAGAGTAAGCGCTGTTAGAGAGCACCTATGAAGGAGGTGAGTGGTCAACACCACGCCCGGCCACCTTTGCCTCCCCCAGTGGCGATGTTTACACACCGCACCACATACTCATTTGAGGCTAAGTCGATCTAGGGGAGGCGCAGGAACGGTTTAGATAATCGTCACTGCTGTTGACCGTGAGCGGGAACCGAACCAGGGTCGTCAGGTTCATAGCGCAACGCGCCAACCCCTACACTACGACACACTCACTCACCTACTCAGCTACCTTATAAGCGCACAGCATAATCTTTCCGAAATTTTTCCATTTTGTTTCCATTTTTCCATTGCCCCCGTGCAGTGACCCACCGCATCCCCCGCACCCTCAACATAACAAAGGACGGATTAACTTAGCCCCGTACCCCATCAATGTCCCTTATTTGGCTCCTCCCCCCCTCCCTTAACCTGTATTTAAGCTCGAGGCTCTCAGAGCCTCCCCACTTGATGCGGCGATCTTGCTGTGACTGTTCCACCTGAAGACGGAAGCTTGTGTTGCCTCCGAAACGTCGTGATTTAATTGTTTTATTTTATTTTACCTACGTGACTTTACCGAAAAAAACCAAAGCGTATGAACACTGACCCACTTCGCTTCTTCCATCGCACTTTTCCGCTTTGAAATTCACTCTCCCATCATCTCTTTTGCCCCGATGCGCTTGCAGCCGGAACGATGCAAACGGTGGTGTTGTTGTGGCAACCGTCGCTCCACTCGGGAGCTACTGACAGCCCGCTCTGTGATGAGTCACCTTGTACCAGATGAGATGGCGTCTAAGACGATGCATATATGTACGTATGTACGTTGACCTTCTTTCGCAACGTACGGAGGCAACCATGCTAATCCGAGGTGCCAACCGTGCCAACCGTGTTGATGTACACCTGTGTAAACCCATACCTGCCCCTCCTCTGGAGGCTGCTGGCCTGGGAAATCCAGACCGTCTTGAGCATGGTGACTGAGGTGAGCGCGTCGTACGATTTCTGCGGAGAGGACGGGCGCACAGTCACCATGAGCAGCCAAACGTTACCACCTCCGCCGCTTTCTCTCCTAAAATATATACATCATTTATTATTCTGCTTGTTTACCCAGGGAATCATCACTCGGTCTCAACAAACTCTTTCTCAGCAGGGTCCTGCTAAGTATTCGCAAAAGGGGGGGTGGGGGGGACGATATTGCTACCTGAAATTTCAATTTGAGTAGTTTAACACGTAGGCTTTCGCGACCAATATTATTCGTATGTACGCAATCTAACACAAAAAACGTTATTGTGAACCCAATTGAGTAATAATCTGCGCGGGGGGGGGGGCGGTGATATAAAAAATTTGGCCGGTGAAGCCGGCACACAATGGCCTACTCATTTGGAATGACGTCACGGGGTCTTTAAGATTCCACAGAAGCAGTCGGGCGCGTGGAAATGTATCGGGTCATTACACACCCCGGTGATAACCAGGGTGGCCTGCCGGATTCGAACCATGAACCTCTGCTACTAGCGGCGAATGAGCTCGCTAGCGCCGGGCAGCGTGACCGCCCCCCAAGTGAAATGAGACCGATGATTAATGCCAGTGAAGTGGCGACGATCGAGCCGACGGGCGACTTTTGACGCAGACGTCTGACAGCAAACGCGGGAAGAATAGGACATTTAAGATTGCCATTTTCTTCAACATCAGTGGAAAGACCATGGAAGATGATAATAATAATTACATTTATATAGCGCTTTTAATTAAGGATCTCAAAGTGCTGTACAGGACACAGCAGCAGCAGATGCTCAGCATAAAAAGAGTATTACAAATACATAAAAAAAACAATTAACTAAATTAACAAAAAATGTAATACGCGGAAGCGTATAAATAGGTTTTGAGGGGCATTTTAAAAATGTCCACAGATTCAGAGATCCATGGAATCTTGAGGAACAGCGTTCCATCGCTGATGTGCGTGTGTGTGCGTGTATGTGCATGTATGTGAGTGCAGGTCAGCACCTCCTTCACTTTCCCCGAGTCGATGACGAACACCACGTCGTTCACCGTGATGCTGCTCTCCGCTATATTCGTCGACAGGATCTTGCGGAAGGGTTTGGGGTTAAAACAAAAATGAAAAGAGACGGAGCGAGCTGTAACCGCCTACACACACACACGTTCATCACCGTGAAAACAATCTTCTAAATCTAGACAGGATCGCACCGCTGAACGAAATAGTCCCATGGTTCAGTTTGCAAGCGCGAGTTCACGTTTCAAGTCGGTGTTAGAAAAATGTATATTTCATGGAAGCTGGTTCGTAAGTGTGAGTGTTCGTAAGTGTAGGTGTTCTTAAGTCATGTGTTCGTAAGTGCGGGTGTTCGTAAGTGCGGGTGTTCGTAAGTCGGGTGTTCGTAAGTCAGGTGTTCGTAAGTCAGGTGTTCATACGTGCGGGTGTTCGTAAGTGTGAGTGTTCGTAAGTCAGGTGTTCATAAGGGCGGGTGTTCGTAAGTCGGGTGTTCATACGTGCGGGTGTTCGTAAGTGTGAGTGTTCGTAAGTCAGGTGTTCATAAGGGCGGGTGTTCGTAAGTTGGGTGTTCGTAAGTCGGGTGTTCGTAAGTGCGGGTGTTCGTAAGTGCGGGTGTTCGTAAGTCGGGTGTTCGTAAGTCAGGTGTTCGTAAGTCAGGTGTTCATACGTGCGGGTGTTCGTAAGTGTGAGTGTTCGTAAGTCAGGTGTTCATAAGGGCGGGTGTTCGTAAGTCGGGTGTTCATACGTGCGGGTGTTCGTAAGTGTGAGTGTTCGTAAGTCAGGTGTTCATAAGGGCGGGTGTTCGTAAGTTGGGTGTTCGTAAGTCGGGTGTTCGTAAGTCGGGTGTTCGTAAGTGCGGGTGTTCGTACGTCGGGTGTTCGTAAGTGCGGGTGTTCGTACGTCGGGTGTTCGTAAGTGCGGGTGTTCGTACGTCGGGTGTTCGTAAGTGTGAGTGTTCGTAAGTCGGGTGTTCGTAAGTGTGGGTGTTCGTAAGTGTGGGTGTTCGTAAGTCGGGTGTTCGTAACTCGGGTGTTCGTAAGTCGGGTGTTCGTAAGTCGGGTGTTCGTAAGTCAGGTGTTCGTAAGTGCGGGTGTTCGTAAGTCGGGTGTTCGTAAGTGCGGGTGTTCGTAAGTCGGGTGTTCGTAAGTCGGGTGTTCGTAAGTGCGGGTGTTCGTAAGTCGGGTGTTCGTAAGTGCGGGTGTTCGTAAGTCGGGTGTTCGTAAGTGTGGGTGTTCGTAAGTCGGGTGTTCGTAAGTGTGGGTGTTCGTAAGTCGGGTGTTCGTAAGTCGGGTGTTCGTAAGTCGGGTGTTCGTAAGTGCGGGTGTTCGTAAGTCGGGTGTTCGTAAGTCGGGTGTTCGTAAGTCGGGTGTTCGTATGTGTGGGTGTTCGTAAGTGTGGGTGTTCGTAAGTCGGGTGTTCGTATGTGCGGGTGTTCGTAAGTGTGGGTGTTCGTAAGTCAGGTGTTCATAAGGGCGGGTGTTCGTAAGTTGGGTGTTCGTAAGTCGGGTGTTCGTAAGTCGGGTGTTCGTAAGTGCGGGTGTTCATAAGTGCGGGTGTTTGTAAGGCGGGTGTTCGTAAGTTGGGTGTTCGTAAGTCGGGTGTTTGTAAGGCGGGTGTTCGTAAGTGCGGGTGTTCGTAAGTGTGGGTGTTTGTAAGGCGGGTGTTCGTAAGTCAGGTGTTCGTACATGCGGGTGTTCATAAGTGCGGGTGTTCGTACGTCGGGTATTCGTAAGTCGGGTGTTCGTAAGTCGGGTGTTCGTATGTGCGGGTGTTCGTACGTCGGGTGTTCGTAAGTGCGGGTGTTCGTACGTCGGGTGTTCGTAAGTGTGAGTGTTCGTAAGTCGGGTGTTCGTAAGTGCGGGTGTTCGTAAGTGTGGGTGTTCGTAAGTCGGGTGTTCGTAAGTCGGGTGTTCGTATGTGCGGGTGTTCGTAAGTGTGGGTGTTCGTAAGTCGGGTGTTCGTAAGTCGGGTGTTCGTAAGTCGGGTGTTCGTAAGTCGGGTGTTCGTAAGTCGGGTGTTCGTAAGTGCGGGTGTTCGTAAGTCGGGTGTTCGTAAGTCGGGTGTTCGTAAGTGCGGGTGTTCGTAAGTGTGGGTGTTCGTAAGTGCGGGTGTTCGTAAGTGCGGGTGTTCGTAAGTGTGGGTGTTCGTACATGCGGGTGTTCGTAAGTGTGGGTGTTCGTAAGTCGGGTGTTCGTAAGTCGGGTGTTCGTATGTGCGGGTGTTCATAAGTGTGGGATTTGCATGTACAGGGCATTGCTTAGAAGCCTAAGCAACTCAGAGCGGCTGACATCACATTTCATCTCAATCATTCCAATGCCCTGCTAAAATGTAGCCAAGGAAACCCCCGGTGGCTCCGTTTGCGGTACGCTGGAGCGTACCGCAAACGGGAATTTGTCAGCAAGTAATGTGTAAGTTAATGCAACCACCCCAACTGCACACACGCAAATAAAACAAATCAGTTCAACAAACTTGAACAGACTTTGAACATTCGAGCTCAATGTATTATTACGCTGCTTTGCCCAGGAAAGCCTCGCTGGGTTTCAAGACTATTGTTCATGAGCGTTTCTGCAGTAGGGGCGCTATGTTGCTGCTGCTGTGTGTAATCCCAATTGAATCATTTGCAAGATAATTTTCTGCAAGCCATTTGGACGTTTGCCCACACCAGTAAAATGGTGTGCAGGGTCCTATTTACTATGGGAGAAAAATCTCCAACAACCCGGAGGAAACCCAATGCACAACAGGGGGGAGCCGGGAGTCGAACCCAGGATCTTTGTGCTGTGAGGCACGCGCGTTACCGCTGTGCTGCTGCCACCCTGGTGAACCAAAATAGGAACGACCAACGCCAGAGTAGAGAATGCGATAAAAATACGCACAATTTTGCGGGTTCCTGGCGGCACGCTCTTGAGCACTCTCCTCTGGTCACACGTCTGCATGTTGGAGTGAAGGGTGAACACGTGGTACCTGCCACAACAAGCGACGGAACTCTTGAGCGGTGCCCGGCGGCCGACGAGTCACGGCTTAAGCGGGGGCGGCCGCTGGATTTGAAACGTGAACCTCTGCAAACAAGCGGTGATCGCGCTACTGCTAGGCGGCGTCTAAACTAAACTATTTTTATTTTACCAGGTAAGGACCACTGAGCTATGCAGCTCTTTTTTAAAAGCAACCTGGCCACAAATGACAGCTCAACAAAGTGGCTTATCGTGTGGAAACATACTGCAGCCAAATACTATGAACGCACGTTGATTTTAAATGCGGGGGGAAAAACCGGAGGACCCGGAGAAAAATCCACGCAACCACGGGAAAAGAGACACACAAACTCAAAAATACACAGCAGGCGTCAGGGTCGGCATCGAGCCCACGACCTCCTGCATACGAGGCCAGCGAGGCAACATCACGCCCTCCTACCCACTCCATCTTATTTCGTATGACGCGCAATTTGCAATGCAAGAAGCCGGGGGGAAGGCAGCGAATTAAGTAAGTGAGCAATTGACCCCTTTCGGTGGGGACCAGTCTGGTTTGGGGCAGCGGGTCTGCTCCCCATCTTTCTATCCTCTGCATTTCAGAACCCGTTTAGTTTATGTTGACGTTGTGTACGTGCGTCAGAATGTGATATAATGGGCCCGTCCTTTGCCTCAATAAAAAAAAAGTACACGAGCAATTTGGACCAATTGGATTCAACTAGGAATATTTCAAGCATAGCTCTTCAGTAAATATCACAGACAGAGCTAAATAGAAGGGTCATGATCGCTGTAGCACATAGCGAGAGAGTTAGAGAAATGTGTGTCTGCGTGCAAGACGGCAACGCTCACAAGGCACTCAAGGTCAGAAAACAACGACGATCGTCGTCAACCGGCTACTGGACACCGGCCCATCGTACACACGGTACGAGTGCCAATGGCCATGCGCGCAAACGGATGGCTAACAGGGCCAAAAAACGCCACCAAGCTGCAGGGCACGAGCCTTACCCCCTCGCAAACGGGTACACGCGCACACCTGCCACAAGCAGCAGAAGCATCAGGTCACCCGTCAAGAGTCGGAAAGGTGGTTAAAGCGTACTCACTTGTGGCTCTGCTCCGCAAATCTTTTGTCGTCGCAGAGAATGAGGTCCCGCAGCGTGATGATCTCATCGTAGCCCGGCAAAAAAATCAGCACGGCTCCTGAACAACAACAGCAGCGCCAACAACAAACATCAACAAAGAGCTCAACGGTATTTGTTTAAAACTCTATCAGCTGAAGTTGAAAGCGTTGATGTACTAGTTCTCTCCATCTGTCCATGTCTGTCTGTAATTTGAAGGCATGATAACTCTTGAAAAGATGATTCAGTATGTGGCCATCGAACATGAAATAGGCGACGTTTCGGGCAACAGTTCTTCTTCGTAGCACGTGAACATGAATTGATCAAAGTGCTGGCCAATATTTGGAGGAGAAAAAACTGGGGCTTAGAGAAGGCAAGCGCCTCCATTTCGCCCCCCTCTCCCCGTCGTAACCTCGATCTGTCGCACCTCCTCTGACCCGTGACGTCACCTCGTGGCGTCATCCTCACCAACGCAACACGTACAACAATAATCGCAAGGGTGAAAAAAAAGCACGACAAGAATCCACGCGTACGTACGGTTCTTCTGCCTTGTTTTGACTTTTCCTTTTGCCTTTGTCATCGTTATCCTAACGTTTAATATGGGCAAGGCGTTCAATGGGCAAGGCGCTCGAGAGCACTCCAGAGCGCTCGTTCTGTTGAAAGATCTGTGAGCCCCTGAGGCTGCATCTTCATAACGGGAGCTAACGGGCAAAGGAGCTGCCTCGCCGAGCGGTAGGTGGGCGCCTCAAGATCCAGTCAATCGGAAGAGCAGCTGTAATACGATGAAATCAGACACCCGACAAAATCACCGATCAGAGATTTTCCCCCCCCCCATATATGGAAGTAGGCATGGTGTTGCCCATACATGGTCTTTGTGGATCGTGAATCGAGTGTTTAATAGTCTCGATTCAGCACAATCGATCCGGCAGTCGCTCAAAGTTGATCGGGCAAGCAACTTAAAAATGTCAATTCATTGCGATTCATTCGGGGACGCAACACGCCGGCGTTCATTGGCCGGTCGTGTCGTCGCGTCGTTGACGTCGCGTCGCACGGCTCCCGGCGTCCTGACGCACCGCTCAATAAGAGCTAACGCCCGCCCGCCTATGTAAGAGCGCCACGGCAGAGGGCTCTGCCCAGTGAAGGCACCCCGGGCTGTGCGGCGGCAGCTATGCACAGAGGGCCGATCTAAAAACTAACCCAATGGGGGAGCGGCGGGAAGGTGGCGATCCCGAAACGTCAAGCTTTAAAACATCCTTTAAAAATGCAACTGTTTTGTTATTTTACCAGGTAAGGCCCGTCAATCTCTGCAAACAAGTGGCGAACGCGCTACCGCTAGGCCATGTCTAAACTAAACTATTTTGTTACATTAGATCTCCTTTGCCAGTACCAAAATAAAATAATAGGGGTTTTTCCCCTTTTTTCTGGCAACAAAACTGAAGCCTTATTACAAAGAATCATGTGTGCATTAACCACAATACTTATGGTCAAAATGCAAAAAAAAACACTGATAACATATGCATTGTCCTTGAAACTGATTGGTCTACACCAGAGACGGGTTTGAGTTTTGTTGCCAGAAAAAGGGGGAAAAACCCGATTATTATATTTTGGTACTGGCAAAGGAGGTCTAATGATGTAGATGCTTACCCCGAGCCCTCATTACTTTGATAGTGGCATTGTTTTTGAGCTGTACGCCTATTGGCGTCCTCTGGTCTAGCACCAATTGAGACGAGGCTCAAAAGAAAACCGTCTCTGGTGCGGACCAATCAGTTTCAAGGACAAATGCATGTTATCAGAGTGTGTTTTTTATTTGCATTTCGACCACAAGTATTGTGGTTAATGCACACATGATGCCTTGTAAAAAGGTTTCAGTTTTGTTGCCAGAATAAAGGGGAAAAACCCTATTATTATACTATTTATATTTTTACCAGGTAAGGCCCACTGAGCTATGTAGCTCTTTTTCATAAGCGACCTGGCCACAAATGTTAGCTCAAGAAAGTGGCTTGTCATCAAGTGGAAATTTATAGCAGCAGATAAATGCATGTTGATTATAAATGTGGAGGGAAAAACCAGAGGACCCGGAGAAAAATCCACACAACCACAGGAAAAAACACGCAAACTCCAAATATACAGGTGTCAGGATCGGGATCGAACCCACAACCTCCTGCATATACTAGGCGAGGTATAAAGGAGGTTGATTGGTGGGCCCTAGACATTAATATAAACAACATTCAACGCATTTTCAAGCAAACATCTATAACATACCAATTATTTAAATTGGTATGTGAATGGGGGTGGGTAATCACCACCATCGCCCTCCATCCCTTGGATCCGCTGCCGTCTGGGGAACCACAGCACTGCGCTTTCTCAAGCTATACACCAGAGGGTTGCAGTTCGAATCCAAGATCCCGTGACGTCATTCGCAAGTGCAGGCCACTGCGTACCGGTGTTATGATAATTATTTAGAGAATAAATAAAAAAACCTGCAAATTACTTATCTGGGATTATACAAAGCAGCGACCATTGCCCCTTATTGGCAGACTCATGCCCCGCTTACAGGCCAGGTGCCGAGTCACCTTGTGCGCACAGGGACAGCTGCCACTGGGTGTGCCCTTTCAAATGTGTTGTTGAGACGTGGCCATTGAAAGGCGCAAATCGGGTGTAAATCATTCCGAGAAGCCGCGGCGTAAAGGAGGGCAGCTGTATCAACAACAAATCATTCCCATCATAATAATTACGATCATCATCGCCGCCGCCGCCGCCGTCCGGCCGTCCGTCGCGGTGGACAGCACCCACCATCAGTGGAGCCCTGGCAGATCTGGTTGAGGAGGTGCAGGATGAGATCGAGGTCCACCTTGTCGTCGTCAAAGGTGTGGTGGTAGACGCTGAGCAGCTCGCGGTCCTCGGGGCTCAGCTCAGTGCTGGTGTTTGCCAGTGTGCTTTCATCAGGCCCCGCCTCGCCCACCGAAGCCCTGGGAGCCCGGGGGAGAAAAACAGGGGGTGAATTCAACTAAAACTCTTTTTATTTTGCCAGGTAAGGCCCACTGAGCTACACTGCTCTTTTTCAGAAGCGACCTGGCCACAAATGATAGGTCAACGAAGCGGCTTATCAGATGGAAATGCACAGCAGCCAAATACTCTAAATCAGGGGTCTCAAACTCAACTTACCTGGGGGCCGCTGGAGGTAGAGTCTGGGTGAGGCTGGGCCGCATCAAGTATTAAAAAAAAAGTACAACTGATCCAATCTTCTCAATCTTTATTGCTCTTTTGGATTAAATTGCTCTTGGTAAATTCGTTTTCTTTTGCGATTGCACATATCTGTCCTTTTTCCTTGTCTTTGTTTCTCTTGTAATAATCTATAACTTCTTCTTTATAATATTCAGGTTCTAACCACCATTTGGCTTTTGTTCTTGCCACTCATCTCATGCTATTTGCTATCCATGTAATTATTTTCCCTTTCCTATTGCAACACTCTGTTGTCTTTATCAGGTCACTGATTACTCTTGTTGAGTCCGCCCACTTCCTAAGTCCTCTGTACCTTGCACTGGGTGACAGGATATATTTTCCTTCCTCTTGGCATCACTCCGGAATCACATTTCAACCAAGTGACTAACGTTGCTAATTCGCGTTGGCTAACTTGGCAACAAACACCGGAAGCTGTCACGAGCCTGAGCTATGGGGGGGAAAAAATGATAATTAAAAAATAAATTAAAAATTGATGTAAAGTAGGGGGACACAAAATATCGTTCCGCGGGCCGCAATTGGCCCGCGGGCCACGAGTTTAAGACCCCTGCTCTAAATGCATCATAGGACCTCCTTTGCAAGTGTCAAAATACAGGGTGTTTGAAAAAGATGGACCCAATTTCAAAGCAGTATATTTCACGATGGTAACATGTTACAATTACACAAAAAGTTACAAACGGTTTAATGGGTTATCAGGTTTCACGAACCATTTTATAAATGCTCTATGTGCCCTCCACCTGCTGTACGGACAACATCGAGACGATAGTTGAATTCGTCCCAAACGCCTCTCTTCTCACGTTTTCCTCTGAGGTGCGTGGTTGCCCGTGCTCTTCCCCTTACATCAACAGCCTGCTTCCTTAAATTGCGGGTAACAACAACGAATGCTCTTTGACAATGGTGGATCAATGCCAAAATACCGTTGAAACACACGCTGCACCGCAAATACGGATTCAGTCTTGCTGAACTGCAGAACGCAAAACGCCTTGTGTTGCAAATGACTGAGGCTAGGAGCTGTTTGTGCGCTGGGAGAAGCATCTAGGGGTAATAATTTGAAACTCTATGCCCCGCCCGTGGTAAGAGTTTCGTTCATGGGCGGTTCATGGTTGCAGAGATACAGCGATTTCAAATCGGGTCCATCTTTTTTAAAACACCCTGTATAATAGGTTTTCCCCTTTTTTCTGGCAACAAAACAGGTGTTAAGATGATAAAACACCAAACTGAAACTTTTTGCAAGGAATCATGTCTGCATTAACCGCAGATACTGGTCTAACACCGTTATGAGACTAGGCTCTAAAGAAAGCTGTCTCTGGTGTGAACCAATCAGTTTCAAAGACAATGCATATACTGTCAGAGCATGTTTTTTTTTCGATTTAAAGCTTTCGTGACTGCAAGGATTCATCTTCTTTGGTTCTTTCGGTAAAGTCACGTAGAATGAGAATAAAATAACAAATTAATAAAATAACACAATAAAATCCTCACGACGTTTCGGCCACAACACAAGTGGCCTTCATCAGGTGAAGGGACGAGGCTGTCTCGAGGACAGCTCCAGCGCTCATTCTACGTGACTTTACCGAAAGAACCAAAGAAGGAGCATGTTTTTTTGTTTGTATTTTCACCACAAGTATCTGTGGTTAATGCAGACATGATTCCTGGCAAGAAGTTTCTTGTTTGGTGTCTGAACATCTTAACACAAACTGTTTTGTTGCCAGAAAAAAAGGGGAAAACCTATTATTATACTCTAAATGCATGTTTCTAAATGTGGAGGGAAAAACCGAAGGACCCTGAGGAAAATCCAGGTGACCACAGGGAGAGCATGCAGACTCCAAATATACAGGCGTCAGGGTCGGGATTGAATCCACGACCTCCTGTATATGGCGCCTCGCACTGCTGGGTGGACAGAGGCAGTGAGAGATTTAACAATGTTGGCCACATATTAATAATAATAATCATTATAAGCCATGATCAATCTACAGCTGGATCAGGGACTCCCCAAGCTGTCACCATCACCCACGGTCCTGCGATGCAAGAATCTATCCAGGCACCTGCACACGACTGATTTCATCTCCACGGTGGAAGTGTATCTTGGCCGGTTGTATTCCCATCTTCGCTGTTACTTCTGAGTCCCAACCCACCGGCCATCGTCCCTTCACGCATCCTGCCCAAGCCCACTCATTAAAAAAAGTCAAATCACGTCTCAAACTCGTGTATGCCTTTTTAACGACAAAAAATTACAACAATGATTTCTAGTACCGGACGGAACATCCGATATGGCGAGAGTGTGGCGAAATTAGCCCTTGTGCAAGTGCCAGGTAGATCCCGACCCTGACGCCTGTATATACGGAGTCTGCATGTTCTCCCCGTGGTCACGTGGATTTTTCTCCAGGTAGATTGTTGAATCGTGAGATTGTGAGAGACGTGACATATTTGGGAGGCATTCTTCCAGTGGATTGAAAATGGCTGATGACGATACTCTTTTTGTTACCACTATTATGGTTGTTAAGTACCCAGGAAAGCCTCACTGAGTCTCAAGGCAATTTTTTCATGAGGATGCTGCCAAGTTACGTTTCAAAATAAGAGGAAATATTGCTGGCATGTGTGCTCCCATTTGAGTAATGTGCAGGATACATTTTTCAGCACTGAAATGTGTGACCAATACCAATTACATCGTATGTTTTTTCGCTTTTAGCTTTGGGAAGAAACCAGAGAAACTGGAGGAAAACCCATGAAAAACTGAGGCGAGAACGTATCAACTCAACACAGAAAAAGTATCCCGAGTCAGGTATCGAATCCAGGCCCCTTTGTTGCTGTGGGGCGCAAGTGTCACCACAGCGCTGCCACCTACGACGAATTACATTAAATCAGCGCCCGAATAAGGCGATGTTTTTGCTGATACGTACACAAACGATTCCATGAGCTCCACCACGTCCAAATGATGAAAATTCTTCGCCCAGTCGAAAGCGTTCCTGAGGAAGAAAAAAAAAAAACATGGCAAGGGCATTGGCTGGCAACGGGCGATTGCGCCGCACCCGAGCAGGAGCACGGGACGGCACATCTTGCCGAGGGGGGGCTGCACCAGCGCTGACCGTCGGACCCAAAACAAACACAAAACCAGGGAGAGATGCAGATGTTGTTCACGAAGGAAATGAGGATGACGAGATGGGCGTCAGGGATCACGAGACCGGATATCGGGCGACGGGGAAAACGGCGGAGACGCGGCCGAGCGGTCGGCCACTCGCCACTTGCCGAAGGTTTGTCAATTCGCATCCGGCAGGCCACCCTGGTTGTTACCTGCGATGTGTGTTAACCGTAAAATACTATGCACTATCTGCTTGACTCACAGTGGACCTTCCGATGTCATTCCAAATTTGCCAAATGCAAATGTAACGCCGGAAATTACACGACTGGGATCGCGCACGGCAACTGTGACCTGCAACTGGCATAACGCTAACGCGGCCCGGCGCAAAGGAAGGTTGCCCGATCATCAACGGCTCATTTTCTGATCACCACTAAGAGCAGAGCGCATCTCGAGACAAGCCGAAAGAAAGTCGACTCAGAAGGATGTGGCGTAAGAAGGGAGGACAACCACACAGGGAGAAGAAAGGCGATGAACATGGAAGCACGGGGGAGGAGGACGAAGGGCTGCCCCAGAGAGAGGTGGTTTTTAAGTGGTGGGACCAGGACTGTGGAGTGGATGTTGGAGGTGATGGCCCAGGACAGGAGTCAGCAGAGGAGTGAGGAGCAGGTTTGGAAAAATTCCAGGAAGGAGGAGACACTTTTGGCCCTCACACACGGACGGCACGGGGATGCCGTCAGTTAAAGAATTTGCACAACGTTCCAAAAGTTGGCAGCGTTTCAAACATTACCCCCACCCACCCCCTTGAAACAAAAGAGCATTGTGTGGCCGTTCCGCTGCACAATAACAACCGGTGCCACTTTTTAAATTGTTCGGTGTGGCTCCCTCCCGCCCGCTTCGCTTGTAAATTAAACGTTGCAGCAGAAATGTAAATTTAGCATGACACCGGCGTGAACACTTTCAGCCACGCAGTTTCCCGTTTCGATTTTTCAAAAGGCCAAATATAGTTCGGCGATGCCAGGAATCCCAACGCCACGTGTTCTCACGGAGGGGATTTTTCTGTTCTGTTTTGTCCGTGTACTTGACTTTTCACGTTTGTGACTCACTCGGTAGAACACACGTGCACGGACGAGAGTCCGGCTGAATCAACAACACGGCGGTTCCCGCGGGGTCAGCGTTAGTACAGCAACTGTAAATATCTTTCATGGTAAATGCAATTTAATCCCTCATCAAACAACACACTCCTTAAACGAATGGCCAAACATCACAGACGCAAAGTGACGTTGAAAGGTTCAGCCCTGTAATCGCTCGCTTACGCGACTGCTCACAGAAGAGAGCCCCCCCCGCCCCCCCAGAGGGAATTTGGCCTACTCTTCCAAGCTGGTTAACCGTCTCGGAAGAGGCGGGAGTACCCACATTCACAAAGGCGCAATATTTCACAGGGGAGTCTAAGTCTGCCAGTAGGGAGTGAAGTTGCAATTTGGTTTTACCCGATTAAAGTAAACAGCGGCCAATTTTTTTTCTTTTCTTACAAATTTGGACCGTCGAAGCGGTACAATGTGGCCTACTCTCTTGCAGAACAGCGTCACGCGACCCTTTAAACGAGCAACGCAAAGCGGACGGCGCGCCGCAGCGTTTACAATCGACGCACCAGCAGTAACCGGGGAAGCCTGTCCAAACTTGAACCCCCCAAACCCCGCCGACCCCCCCCCCCCCCCCACCTCCGGCGCGACGAGCGGCAACCGTGCTTCCGCCAGGGCTGTGTCAGCGCCCGATTGTGAGCGAGGGGGGATGGGGAGGGGGATGCAGGTGCCCTCACATGCCGTTGGAGGCCTTCACGTTGACGTTGGCCCCCAACCGGAGCAGCTGCTCCACGATGCCGATGAAGCCATGTCCTGCGGCCACCATCAGCGGCGTGGCGGTCGTCTCGCTGTGCCTGTAGTCGACTGCCCGGTAGAGAGACGATCGTCATCATCAGCAGCAGCAGCAGTAGCGGCGGCGGCAGCAGCGGTGGTAGCAGCAGCGGCAGGGGCAGCAGAAGCAGCTTCAGCGGCAGGTGTGTAGCACCGAATTGATTAGACGATTCAAATTCCTACGCTCACATGCTGTAATGGTTGGCAGTACTGGCCGGCCAATCTAGAGGTCACCGATTCGGCAGTTGAAACGATGAAGCAAGTTTATTAAATCAGAAACCCCCTGCCCACCCCCCCCAACCGCTCACCTTCACCGCCTGTCCAAACAACACCCCCGCCCCCTAGAGCCCTCTTTAGTGTAGGCTCTTTCAGCAACGGTAGCACGAGCAAGCAAGCCAGCAATAGAGGGGCAACACCTTATTCTTTTAAATGAGAAACGAGGCCAAACTATGACTAGGGCCGCCATGCACGTGGGCCAATCGACGCACCCGTCGCAAACCGTTCTACCGATAAAAAAACGGTTTACCGATTCCTGACTCTCGGAACAGGGAACAATATATATATTTTTTTACTATTTTATTTTACCAGGCAAGTCCTACTGAGCTGTTTAGCACTTTTTCAGAAGCGACCTGGTCACAAATTATCTCAGTAAAGTGACTTATCATCATGTGGAAATTTACAGCAGCCAAACACCTTAAACACACGTTGATTCCAAATGTGGAGGGAAAAGCCGAAGCACCCGGAGAAAAATCCACGCAACCACGGGGAGCGAAAAAGAGACACCGCAAACTCCAAATATACAGCAGGCGTCAGGGTCGGGATCGAACCCACGACCTCCTGTACACCGGGCGAGGTAGTTAACATCTCCTAGCCACCGAGGTGTTACCAATTCAGAAAAGGGCTACCGGTGTAACAGGGGAAGAAGTGGGGAGGGTATTTTCCAGGCCACCCTGTTCCATTGGCACGCTGGCCCGGCACGCACCGCTGACGCGCTCGCTGAGCAGCAGGTGCAGCAGCTGCGTGAAGGCGTCCTCGTCCCGATGCATCCACAGGTTGGTGATGCACGCGTCCATCTCCTTGACGAGCCACGGCTCCAGGTTGGAGCCATCGCGCTCCGCCTGTCCGCGCAAAAGACAAAGATCCCCGTCGTATAGCCGAAACAGACTGTTGGGGGCAAGCGCTGTTCGCGAGTGGCACCTACATGAAGGCTGGTACGGCGCACGAGGGGGTAGGTGGCCAGCACCACGCCCGGCCGCCTTTACCTCGCGAGCGGCGATGTTTACACACCGTACGAGGTAATCGGAATTCAACTCGGGTTGCCGGGTTCTTTGCGCAGTGCACTAACCAGTACGCCACACAAAGACAATAATCCCCCCCATATAGCCACGGGCTGTTGGGGCAAGGGCTGTGAGCGAGCACTGATGAAGGCTTGGCACGGCGCACGAGGGGGAGGGCTGTGAGCGAGCATCCACGCTCGGCCGCTTGTGTTGCCCCAGCGTCGATGTTTACACACCGCGCCAGATACCCATTTCATGCTGAGTTGACTTAGGCGATGCCCTGTGAGTGGGAATCAAACTAGGGCTACCGGATTCACAGTGCGGCTACGAACCGCGTTAATTACCGCTCCCCACACGCGCAAAACATACAAAGACGCATAACATGGACACTCACGGAAACTTAGATACACACATAAAAGCTAGGGAACCTGAAACCAGATGAAACCCATGAAGAACAGGGGGAGAACATACAAACTCCAAACAGAAAGGCATCAGTCAGAAATCAAACCCAGGCGCTTCTTACTGTGAGTCAGAAGTGTTACCACTGCACCACCCTGCCTATCCATGAGTTTAACAATGTATTATTATGATTTTATTATTTATCATTGATGGGAGTGTCCTTCACGCCACGGGATCTCAGCCATGCGATAATACAATTATAATGCAATGACAAAAAAACGTTACTTAAGACTGGGCTCAAATTACTGATAGGAAATTAGTGAACACAAAAAAACAAAACCCAAGAGAGGGGAGGGTTCCTTCCCCTAAGCTAAACTATTTTTTATTTTACGAAGCGACCTGGCCATGAATGATAGCGCAACGAAGTGGCTTATCATGTGAACATTTATAGCAGCCAAATACTCTAAAATGCGTGATGTTTATTCTAAATGTGGAGGGAAAAACTAGAGAACCCGGAGAAAAATTCACAAGACCATGGGGAGAGAGACACCGCCAACTCCAAATAAACAGCAGACAGCAGGGTCAGGATCCAACCCATGGCCTCCTGTATACCCGGCGAGGTAGTTAACATCTCCCGACCCAACCCAGCGTTCCACACGACATACCTCCTGTACGAAGGCGCTCTCCCCTTCGTCGTTGAGCATCCTGGTGTGATCTGCGAGGCATGCGGCGCTGGCACTGCGTACTGGCACGCTCGATCCCGTCTCCTTCGCCTTGTACCATTCGCTCAGCTTGTTCTGCTGGCTCTCCACTGCGCACACGCAAACACAGAGTTTCCCCCCCCCCCCGTATAGCCTCAAGAGACTGTTGGGGCAAGTGCTGTTCGCGAGCGCCTTTGAAGGCTGGCACGGCGCAAGAGGAGGTGGTGTCGCCACGGCCGGCCGCCTTTTGTCTATATACTGCACCAGGTACTCATTTAAGGCCGAGTCGACCGATTTAACAAAGAAAAACGACTTTTTTTTACCAGGTAAGGCCAACTGAGCTATGTAGCTCTTTTTCAGAAGCGACCTGGCCACACAAATGTTAGCTCAAGAAAGCGGCTTGTCATCAAGTGGAAATTTATAGCAGCAGATAAATGCACGTTGATTATAAATGTGGAGGGAAAAACCAGAGGACCCGGAGAAAAATCCACACGAGCACAGAGAGAATATGCAAACTCCACGGGGAGAGAGACACGCAAACTCCAAATATAAATGTGTTAGGGTCGGAATCAAACCCACAACCTCCTGTATACCAGGCGAGGTAGTTAACATCTCGCCACAGTGGCGACCACTGTGCAATACTGGACCTACGGCAGGTGCAGGACTAGTTTGGATAACCGTAACTGATATTGGCTAAGAGGGTCACACACATACACAGTGTACATGCCTTCACAGGTCATGACAGCTATGAAGAAGCCCGGTCAGGTGACGCGATTATTCGGACCTCCTGGGTATTGTCCTGATAATGCTTGATGTAGTTTCAAGCGAAACTTCGCGAATCCAATCGTTAAATCTGGCTATGGGAATTGTTCTTCAACTCACCGGTGGGACAACTGAAACAATAATAATCGGCACATCGTTAAAAACCTGTACTCCGCGTAACGGTCTAATTAGTTTGGCCGCGTCGAGGTGGTGGAGGGTCTTAACGGCACAGATTTGACCAGATCGTTACATGGCCTAACGCAACACTTTATTAGGAATTATTGACTGCGAAAACCTACCTAGTTGTTTTTTTTTCCCCATTACGTGGCCCCACCAGACATTAGCAGTAACAACACGGGCGATAGTTTATAAAACAACAATAAACAATAACGAGAGCATTCACAATGTTAATAATAATAACAACACGGCTACGGTGGCGATGCGATGGCACAATCATGAAGAAGAGGAGCGACAAAAGACTGCAGTTGACAGTGGCCGGTTGAGACGAGGAGGGGAGAGAGGAGAGACGTGTTTCACCCAGAGCTCCTGGCCTTACCTCTAGAAACTTTATTTTTCTCAACCCTTTGTTCGGGATTTATTTTCACCAAGTGTCTCGCTTTATACACAATTTGTGATCACTGTTTGTTTGTTTAGACTTCCTTTGTCCTTCTTGCTTTGTTCTTTTCTGTTGTTTTCACTGCTCAGGGTGCGGCTGCGCTCTCTGCAGTGGAAAGGTGTCTTTGTTCTCCGCACAATCGTCCACTTTTATTTGATAGTTGATTTCATAATCACGCTTTTCTTTGTTGTTATTTCGATTTTGAGTTCCTTTGTTCCTCAAGCAATTTTTTTATTTTGTGGTTTTTCGTGTTTTTTTTCGTCCCTTTGTCTCGTGTGCTTCCACGTGTTACACGCACCACGTGTTGGCACTGTACCACACCGACCGGTGTGAGTGCAGTGCTAACATCCCCTTTAGACCCCTCTTGTTTTGTGCTGCGAGTGTGTTTACATTATTATTTTTTTATTGGTGTTTTTTTTTCTCTCTAAATTTTCGGTGTTTTTTCCTTCTCCTCTTGTAAAAAAAACCGAGGACCTTAACTAATTTTACCCTCTCCAGGGGAGCTTTGGGTGGACAGCAGTAATAGTAATTAAGACAAGGTGCTCATAACACAGGTTTGACCATCTTTACATACATTTTTTTTCGTTTCTTGTTTTTTTTGTAAATTTTTTTCCTGGCTTTAGAAAATAGAGAGGTTTGCTTTAGTAGTTGTGTGTGACATCTCACACGAGTGAAGATGTCCACCCGACCCGCAACGACGTACACGAAAGCTACCGCGCCTACACAAGGCCGGTCTCTGGGGCCTGCAAGGCGCCAGCAGCAGCAGCAGCAGCTGGAGCCTCCACGCAAGGCCGGTCTCTGGGGCCTGCAAGGCGCCCACAGCAGCAGCAGCTGGAGCCTCCATGCGAGGCTGGGATCCGCTGCCCGGCTTCCACCGATGTCCCGCTCGAAGTTTACGTGGAATCTCTGGGCGCCATCGTGCCTAGGGGCTCGATAAAGTACGCCTCCAAGGTGAGCGGAAGGGTTGGTTTTCTTCATGGAGTCCGAAAAGGTGGCAAACGCCGCCATGGAGAAGGGGCTGACGGTTGACAATTGGCACCTCACCTTGGGAGCCACTGTCATCGCCATCGGTACGTGTGATCGTATCCAACGTCCCCCCCCCTACATTCCCGATAAAGACATCCAAGATAACCTGGCTAAGTTGGGCACGCTGACTTCCCACCTACAGCGTGTGCCTTTGGGCCTCAAAAATCCTGCCTTGCGGCATGTCTTGTCTTTTAGAAGACAGGTCTACATGCTGGTGCCCAATGGGCAGCTTGAGGAGGGCTTATTTGTGATCATGCATGGAGGAAGGGCCCATTGGCTGTTTTACTGCAGGGACGTGCTAAAATGCAACCTATGCAAAGCAGAGGGGCATATTAAGAAACACTGCCCAAAGAGAGCAAATGCCCAATCCAACAGCGAGGCAACGGTGGAAAAGGGTGCTAAAGAAGCACACCCAACAAGTGACTCAGGAGAGGGTCCCTCACCACAGAGATCACTCGAGATGGCGGTAGACCCCGCTCCAACATCAGCTACTGCCATGGAGACTGAGGCTCAGCCAGCCACCCAGCCATCATTGACAGCCGGACCTCTGAAGAGGAAATTTATGGAGGATTCGGCTTCGTTGTCTCCAGAGTCAAGTGGGGATGAGGTCAGTCCCTTTAAAGATCTCCCAGAGTTGGAGTCGGAAATCGCACCAACGCCTGGGGGAGATGCAGAGAGCACTTGTGGCAAGGACGGGGTCTTTATCATCCCAGATGCCCCTAGCGGTGGGACACGCACAGGGAAGAAGCCCCGTGCAGGAACCAAGCTCAAGCGCAGGACGCCTGTAGAAAATCTGGAGCCTGAAATAGAAGCGGGGGAAAATGCAATCTGTGCAGTGGCGGAAGAAACAAGTGATGAGGGTCGCACTTCAGACCTCGACGACGCGCCCAGTGAGGCGGCCGAGGGCTCCCAGGAAACGCGAGCGGCCAAGAGCACAGAGGAGCCCAAACAGGACCCAACTGACCAAACTACGCGAGGTGACCAGGACGAGGACGATGGAGGGCCATCAGTGGAGGGGCAAGTGGCATCACCCAATAAAGCATCGACGGAGGATACCACGACGACTGAAAATCCTCAAAGCCTGGGGGCTGAGGGGGAAATCCAAGAAGAGGAGTTGGAAGAAACCCTCGGCACAGGAAGTTCAGTGAACCTGACATCTGCTGAGCTGACTGAAGGGGCAACAATATTCTCAGTCAGAGCTGTGGACCTTTTTAGATGAAGTGCATGGCCCAGAAGAACGAGTGACTGCAGCTCTGTCAAGGTGGCGAAATGTGGAGGCAATTATAGCCTCCCTAGTCCATGTTGAACAGGACTTCAAGAGACAGGGAAAGTCATCATCTGGGAAGGAAAGGAAGAGGGTCAGGTATTTCCTGAGCCAAATAACTACAGTGAGGGAAAAAAGTATTTGATCCCCTGCTGATTTTGTACGTTTGCCCACTGACAAAGAAATGATCAGTCTATAATTTTAATGTTAGGTTTATTTGAACAGTGAGACAGAATAACAACAAAATGCAGAAAAACGCATGTCAAAAATTGATTTGCATTTTAATGAGGGAAATATTTATTTGACCCCTCTGCAAAACATGAATTAGTACTTGGTGGCAAAACCCTTGTTGGTAATCACAGAGGTCAGACGTTTCTTGTAGTTGGCCACCAGGTTTGCAAAGGAGGGATTTTGTCCCACTCCTCTTTGCAGATCTTCTCCAAGTCATTAAGGTTTCGAGGCTGACGTTTGGCAACTCGAACCTTCAGCTCCCTCCACAGATTTTCTATGGGATTAAGGTCTGGAGACTGGCTAGGCCACTCCAGGACCTTAATGTGCTTCTTCTTGAGCCACTCCTTTGTTGCCTTGGCCATGTGTTTTGGGTCATTGTCATGCTGGAATACCCATCCACGACCCATTTTCAATGCCATAACTGAGGGAAGGAGGTTCTCACCCAAGATTTGACGGTACATGGCCCCGTCCATCGTCCCTTTGATGCGGTGAAGTTGTCCTGTCCCCTTAGCAGAAAAACACCCCCAAAGCATGTTTCCACCTCCATGTTTGACGGTGGGGATGGTGTTTTTGGGGTCATAGGCAGCATTCCTCCTCCTCCAAACACGGCGAGTTGAGTTGATGCCAAAGAGCTCCATTTTGGTCTCATCTGACCACAACACTTTCACCCAGTTGTCCTCTGAATCATTCAGATGTTCATTGGAAAACTTCAGACGGGCATGGATATATGCTTTCCTGAGCAGGGGGACCTTGCGGGCGCTGCAGGATTTGACTGTGGTCCCAGCTGCCTTGAGATCATTGACAAGATCCTCCCGTATAGTTCTGGGCTGATTCCTCACCGTTCTCATGAACATTGCAATTCCACGAGGTGAGATCTTGCATGGAGCCCTAGGCCAAGGGAGATTGACAGTTCTTTTTGTGTTTCTTCCATTTGCAAATAATCGCACCAACTGTTGTCACCTTCTCACCAAGCTACTTGGCAATGGTCTTGTAGCCCATTCCAGCCTTGTATAGGTCTACAATCTTGTTCCTGGCATCCTTGGAGAGCTCTTTGGTCTTGGCCATGGTGGAGAGTTTGGAATCTGATTGATTGCTTCTGTGGACAGGTGCCTTTTATACAGGAAACAAGCTGAGATTAGGAGCACTCCCTTTAAGAGTGTGCTCCTAATCTCAGCTCGTTACCTGTATAAAAGACAACTGGAAACCAAAAATCTTTCTGATTGAGAGGGGGTCAAATACTTATTTCCCTCATTAAAATGCAAATACATTTTTAACATTTTTGTCATGCGTTTTTCTGGATTGTTTTGTTGTTATTCTCTCACTGTTCAAATAAACCTTCCATTAAAATTATAGACTGATCATTTATTTGTCAGTGGGCAAACGTACAAAATCAGCAGGGGATCAAATACTTTTTTCCCTCACTGTATGTTACATGGGAAAACCGTGTTGTATCTTTTATTTAAAAAGGTGGCACATAAGCAAACAAAAAAGACAAAAAAAAGACATGATGAACGAAGCAAAGTACCGAAAGACCGAGCATCTTTCTGTTGCTTCTGATTGTTAAAAAGAGGGAGGGAGGTGCCCCGACTGGACAACTGCGAAAGAGCTTTATAGCTCATCGGATTCCTCCAGTATGAATATTCTCCTGACTATATTTTTGCCTGTCCAAGGACGGCTGTATATTGCAGTAAATCTGAAATATTCAATAGAAAAATTGTTCAGCTTCATGATTATTAATGAGGAGGGGGGGGTTGCCCCATGTGGAGTGACGTCACCCCCTCATGGTTATTGTGGAGGGGTGCGGCATGTGGAGTGACGTCACCCGCTCATGATTATTAATGAGGGGAGGGGTGCGGCATGAAGAGTGCGCAACTTTTTTGTGCATTAGTGTAAATTTCCACGCGGGCATGAATATGAATGAAGGGGGGGGGGGGCGTTTTTGCAGTGACGTCACTCACGGATGTAGCACTGTGCTGCGTAATTTATTTTTTACCGCCACTTTCTGTAAAGAAACGCCATATTTGAAGCGACTTTGCGTCATTATTTTGCATCATTATTATTCATTTAATTCAGCTCGACCTTCCTATGAGTTAGTGTAAAAATCCACCCACTCGTGAATATTAATGAGGGGGGGGTGGGCCTCTTGTGGAGTGACGTCACACAGGGGGGGGTAGGCCTCATATGGAGTGACGTCACGCAGGGGGGGGGTGGGCCTCATGTGGAGTGACGTCACGCGTGGGCCGGACAGACATTTCTGGGTGATTTTAGTAGGTAATTCCGAGACGTTTCGATCGCCACGCAAGCAGTCGTCTTCTCTCTCACCTACGTGACTTCACCGAAAGAACTAAAGAGTATGAATTCCTGCAGTCACGAAAGCTTCACGTCAAGACTAATTCCCATACAGTTGGAGAACGCCGCGTCAACACAACGGGAGGCTCTCTCAAGCACTGAGGGAGGTGGCTTTGCCAGCTGTGCGTACGTTTATCTTTCTCCTTCTGGTATCTCTCCATCTCCTTAGACTTGTAACCCGTGGTGCGCAGGATGTCCTCCAGAAAGAGCCGCTTCACCTCGAACAGCCTCCCGGGCACTGGCTCACGCACGAGAGGCAACACGACGTGCACACCGCCACGTTCAACATCGCCGTAGCGGGACGCGCGGGGGCGGCGTTGCCGCCGCCGCCGCTGCCGCCGCCACCGCCGCACGGATGGATCTCCATAATAGAGGTTTTTGGGTGACATCGAGTGAATATAAATGTGTCGTTAAACCCGCCACCACCCGACACAGCCAATTAGTAAGGTTTGTCACAAACAAAAAATGCCATGTTTAAATGACAAACCTTACTAATTCGCTGTGTCGGTGGTGGCGGGTTTCACGACATTCATATAAGTAGCTATCCTTGACTTCAGTGTTAAATATTAAATACGCCACTTTATACATTACGTATGTACATAAGAGGTTTTAGGGTTAGATCGTGTGAATATAAAAGTGTCGATAAACCCGCCACCACCCAACACAGCCAATTAGAAAGGTTTGTCAAGTAAACAAAACATGCCAATGAGTTACTAATTCAGCACACCGGTGTTGGAGAGTAAACTTACATTTACCATTCGGTAATTACAACCAGAAAATGTCGTACTCTAATGGTAAATGTTGTGGGTTTACCCTCCAACACAACGGTGTGCTGTACTAGTAATCAATTGGCATTTTTTTTTTTACATGACAAATCTTACAAATTGGCTGTGTCGGGTTTAACAACACATTTATATTGACGCGGTCTAACCCAAAAACCTTTATTATGGATATTGATCGCGAAAGCCCACGTGTTAAACTGACGGATGGATTTAGCTATCTCTCACAGCGGATGATGGGGCAGCCGCTGAAGTACTTGGAGAAGAGCGAGACGTTGAGGGAGGCGCTCATCAGCACGACGCGGAGGTTGCACTGCCGCTCCAGAATATCGCGCAGCTTGATGAGCAGGAAGTCGCAGAAGCGGTCGCGTTCATGGACCTCGTCCTAGTGGATACATCACCAACAACGCTGCGATCATCGCCATCAATGTAACCACCACTAACACCACCATCATCATCACCATTATCAATTTTGACCACCTAACAAGACAAAGATCCCCCGTATAGCCTTAACAGACATTTTAGGGCAAATGCTGTTTGCAAGTAGCTCCTATGAAGGCAGGCACGGTACACAAGGGGGTAGGTGGCCAGCACCACCCTCTAAGAACCACCACCAGCACCACCACCAGAACCAACACCAGCACTACCACCATCATCACCACCTGTAACCACCACCATTATCACTACCATCATCACCACCCTTAACCATCACCACCACCAGCAGAACCATCACCATCAATAACCACCACCCTTAGCAGCAGCAACACCACCACCAGCATCACCTTTAACTACCAGAAGCAGCATCAACACCAGCTTCAAAACCATAATTTAATTTCACCATGTACAGCCCGTTGTCAATCCAATGATTAAAAAACTAAACTGAACAAAAACTCAGGAACCGGAACTGGCCACATCTTGGGCTAGACCCAATCAACTTTTAAGCACCGGTCCGGAGGGCGCCGGTAGCTTGGCACGTACCACGATGATGTGCGTAACAGTAGACATGGCGCTGTCTCCGGACATGAGGGTCCTCAGCAGCACGCCGTTGGTGCAGAACGTGAGAAGTGTCTTTGGCGAGACCCTGCGCAACGGCACATGCAGAATCCGACGGTAAAAGGGATCTCAAATACGTATATTGTGTTTTCCTGTTAACCTAACATCTTGGTTGTCACAGGCAATATTGTGATTTGTAATTTAACGTACGTATGCAAGTTGAACTTCTTTCGCACCGTACGTAACCAACTGTGCTACGTGGTCGAATGTGTCATAAGTACCTCCCACCAGCCGACATAGCCAAACCATTTAAATTATCACATGGTGGTAAGTGTTTAACTATGCGCCCAACAAGATTGTTTCAGCTCACCCACAGTTGAGTTGAAGAAGAATTCTATCAATACAAATTCAGCAGTCATATACAATGCCTATAAGCGATGTGCTGAACTTGGTTGTGACAATTGTTCTGTACCCTCCCCATACCCATGGCAAACTGTTGTTTGGCTACATCCTGCAGAGGAAGGATTTTATGACAGGTATTTTGTCAGATAATTGTTTTTGTCGCCTAACCAAAAAATGTGCCATACATATTGTCCCGAGTAGGTTTTCGTAGAGTTGTGTCACTGTAGAGCTCAAACAGGAAGGATAAACGCAACTGAACACAACCGATAAATGACATGACAACTCAACGAAAGAACACGGCACAGGGCAGGGAGAAACACAACAGAACACAGTGGTAAAAGTACACAAGAACAAATGTATGTATGCGTGTATGTTGAACTTCTTTCGCACCGTACACAGCCAACCATGCTAATCGGAGGTGCGACTAGCACAGTTGGAATGAAATGACGAGAAAAACACAATAGCACATGGTACAGAGGGAAAACACAATAACAAAAACAACACAAGACACACACACACACACAACAGAAGAACGACACGAGCTGGCAACGGCATGCCAGGGCGGTGCTGTTTGTGCCAACACCAGGAGCGCCGACACGAGAGAAGCAACAACAAACAACAGAACAGACACGCAACAGGAGAACAACACGAGCTGGCGACGGCACGCCGGGGCGGTGCCGTTGCGACCAACACGCAAGCGGCCGGAGCGCTACACACCTGCTCTCCAGCCGGATCTGGTAGCCCACGGTCTGGCCGACGCCCTCCCCTCGCTCTGCCGCCACTCTCTCGGCCACGGCGATGGCAGAGATTCGGCGCGGCTGCGTGCACAGCACGCGGCATGGCCACCCCAGGCGGGTGCTCTCGTCCAGGATGTACTGAGGGATCTGCCGGGGGGGGGGGGGGGGGTGGGGGAACACGGGTGGCGGCGCACGCCGAGTTAAGCGATGATCAGAGGCAGTTCTTAAGATCGCAATTAGAGTAAAAATCCACGTTCCCGCTCGTGGTCCTCACATCGGGTGGGGCAATGAGCCCAATTTTTCCCCTCCTCTAAATAAAGGAGCTCTAAGTTCTAGGACTGTGCAAGCACCTGCGTGGTTTTGCCAGAGCCGGTCTCGCCCAGCACCAGCAGGATGTTGGACTTGGCGATGGTGCCCAGCAGCTGCTCTTGGAACTCGGCCACGGGGAGGGTCTGGCGGAACGCCTCCAGCTCCGAGCGCCCCCGCGGTGGAGGAACCTGAGGGATCCCGTTGTTGAGCCGCCCGCTCAGCCTGCTCATCTCGTGTCTCACCCCTGCGAGTGACGTGACAAAGTAGATCAGCATCACGGGTGCCATGGTGGCGAGATGTTAACTCCCTCGCCTGGTATACAGGAGGTCGTGGGTTCGACTACAACCCAGACATCTGCTGCTGTATATTTGGAGTTTGCGTGTCTCTCTCCCCGTGGTCGCACAAAGTTTCCTGCGGGTCCTCTGGTGTGTCCCTCCACATTTGGAATCAACGTGCGTTCAGCGCATTTGGCTGCTATAAATGTCCACATAATAAGCCACTTCATTTGTGGCCAGGTCGCTTCTGATAAAGAGCTATACAGCTCAGTGGGCCTTACCTGGTAAAATAAAAATAGTGTTAGCTAAAAAAAAAAATGCCCAAATAGATTAGTTTAGATTATAATCTTAGTTTTTTCGGTAAAGTCACGTTGAAGAGAAACAACAAAATAATAAAATATATATAAAACAATTATTGTTTTATATACAAACAATTATTTTGTTGTTTCTCTTCAACGTGACTTTACCGAAAAAAACTAAAGAATATGAATTACTGCAGTCACGAAAGCTTTAAATCAAAATTTAGTTTAGATTAGTTTAAGTTGATAAAGAGCACCAACAGAGCGCTACAAAACAAAAAAAAACAACCCGTCACTGGCAGCTCCAAAGCGGGAACGAACCTGGGTCTGAGCCGGCACCAGACGGCGCTCGGTCCGTGCGGGGCAGCAGCTCGGTGCGCTCCTTGCTGGTGACGGGGAAGCGCTGCAGCAGCGCGTGGGCGGCGTGGCGCGCCGGGTGCGACAGCACAAACGACATCTCGGCGCCCGCCGCCTCCGCGCTCTCCTTCTTCCGCACGGTCAGGCACCGCATCAGCCCCTTGCTACCGACGGACGCAGCGAGTACGTGGGGGGCAGCGTGAATTACCGGTGGGCGGGCGGGTTAGGTGGGTGGGTGGGTGGGTGGGCGGGTGGGTAGATGGATAGGTGTAGCATGCAGGCACACGGGGAGGTGTATAGGTAGGCAAGTAGATGAGTGGGTTCGCGAATGCATGACGAGGCAGGCAGATAGGCAGGCATGTAGGTGGACGTGCATGTGGGACAGGCAGGTGTATAGGTAGATATGGGGAGCGGTACTGTAGCGGTTAGCATGCTGCGCTACGAAGCCGTTGACTGAAGTTCGATTCCCGCTGACGGCCAACACCAATGACAATTATCTGAACCGATCATACGCCTCTCCTAGGTCGACTCAGCCTCAAATGAGTACCGAATGCGGTATGTAAACATTGCCACTCGGGAGACAAAGGCAATCAGGCGTGGTGCTGGCCACCCACCGCTCGTGTGCCGTGCCGGCCTTCATAGGTACTCGCTAACAGCACTTGCTCCAACAGTCTGTTAAGACTATATGGGGGATCTTTGTCTTGTATAGGTTGGTAAGCGGGTAGGTGGGTAGGTGAGCGGGTACGTAGGTTAGTGCATGTATCACAAGCTTATGAATCAATATTCATTAATACTTTGCGGTTACACTCCCACTAATTAAACCCAATAGCTGAGCCTCACTGACTTCCGACTCCTCGAGATGAGTCCCATCGACTGGCAGAGGCGGTGGACGAAGGCCCGCTCCGTTTTTGTCAGCGAGGAAGGGAACTCCAGCTCTGCAAGCGAAACGCACGCCAAGACAGACTTTCACGAACGTACACGCACCTCAGTACATTTGGTATCCTCACAATTCGCATAGCGCAAGCAAATCATGCATGCTGTGTATTGCAGAGTCCGCTGTAGTATCGCAGTATGGAGCAATGTTACAATGCATAACCTCAATTGGATATTTTGCGGGTAGATTATAAATTGTGGACCATGATGACGGCACTAACCACATGCAAAGCAAGGACAGTGTGTGGCTGAACCGGTGAGCGGTTGTATGGATGTGTAGCTGTGTGGTTGGGCAGTTGTGTGGGTGAGTGGTTGGGCAGTTGTGTGATTGTACAGTTTGTGTGACTCTGTGGTTGTGCGGTTGATTAGTCATGCAGTCGGGTGGTCGTGTATAGTATTCCCTCGTTATTCGCGAGTGATACGTTCCGGAGATGCTCGTGAATATAAAATTTCGTGGATAATATTGGAAAATACATTACCTAAAATACATAAATAAGCTGTTAAATAAATGAAAATTCTCTCATCACTTTCTCGCATCAATTTATCTCTCATAACTTTCTCATATCCCATTCTCTCACATCACTTTCTTTCTCTCTCTCTCTCTCTCTGAAGAGTCGTGTATAGTTCCAGATGTGATTCACGGATAGCCAAAATCGCGGATATCAAGTTCGTGAATAACGAGGTACCACTGTAGTCACGTGACCGTGTCGTTGTGCGATGTTCACTGTGGTTGTGGGGGTTGAGAGTGGTTGCGGTGGGTGACTGGCTCACCTTTATCGTCGCTGTAGCGGAAGCGCTCCATCGCGACGTTCACTGCGATCTTCACCTCCTCGCTCACCTTGATGTTCTGCAGACCTTTGCCGCGGCCGCCACTTTGATTCCCTCTGCCGCCGCGGGGAGTTCCTACGGGCTGCATGGAGGCTGCGCGTGGGCACGACATGGCGTCCCGCTAAAAAAAAAAATCGACAGCCACGATTGGACCACTGCTGGATGACGGCCTCCCCAAGCCATCGCCATCTTTCACGGATCTCACGATGCAACAATCTTGCTCTTACACACAAGCCTAGTCCGTGCTCTCCAGTTGCCTGGGTGAAAAGTTGGGCTCCGTTTTGCCCAACCCAGCTGGCTCAAAAAACGTAATCATCGAATGAGCCGATTTCATCGCTCCATCTCAGCAGTGGATGGTCTCAGGCGCGTTTTCTCATTTGGCTGCCACTGTCCGATTAGTACAGTTGGCTTCGTGCAGTGCAAATAAAGTTCAACATACATACACACATACACACATACATCCTCTGACATTATCCTTGACCGTCCCTTAGAACGACAACGTCCTGCACAATCCCACTTACCTCTCTTGACAATGTCTCTTACTTTTGTACGTTCTCTAATCAAAAACAAACATCTTTAAAACTTATTTTGCGTGAAGTTTGTTGTCCTTCGCCACACCTCTGATTAGCACGGTTGGCTACGTACGGTGCGAAAGACGCATAACATACATACGTTCCTGTTCCTGAGTTAAATTCAGAATTTGTTGCATTACAAAGACCCCCCGTATAGCCTGTAATGGACTGTTGGGGAAAGTGCTGTTAGGGAGCACCTATGAAGGCCGGCACAGCAAACAAGGGGGTGGGTGGCCAACACCACGCCCGGCCACCTTTGTCTCCCTCGTGGAAATTTTTCCGCATCGCACCAGGTACTCATTTGAGGATGAGTCGACCTAGGGGAGGCCCAGGACCAAGTGGGAATCGAACCCGGGTCACCAGGTTCATAGCGCAGCACGCTACACTAACCGCTCTCCACAGGCACTCCTTGGCATACGCGATAGATGCGTTCCTGGAAAAGCACGGGTATCTCAAAATCGCGTATGTCAAAAGCTATTTTCCCATAAGTAATAATGGTAAAAGAGGGGGTTAGGGGATTTCACTCACACTCGCAGACATAGTCGTCTATATTGTCGTAGCCTATATCAATACAATACACGTACACACAATATATGGGTGCTTAAAAAAAAGTTTTATACTTACAGTATATGGGACTATCGCTTTTAATGGAAAAAGAACAATCAAACACTGTAACATGATAACAAATGTATGCTAATAGCTTCAAAAAGTCAGAGTCTCCTCCACTTGTTCTCCATCATTGTCAACACGTGCCTGGAATTTTCTCCAGGTAGTCTCCAGAGCCCGTAGGCATATTTCTTATGGTATTGTTGCAAATTCTCACAAGTGTTAACATTTGTTTAAGCACCCTTGACTTTAAATCAAAACAGAAAATCATGTAAACTCTAATATACTTCCCATAAAATAAAAAAAGAAATACAATAAGGAATACACAAGCGGTGAACACAACACAAGTAAACTTGACAACGTACGATCACAACGTGAGACGCGAGACAAAGGGAAGAATGCTGGGGTACACATTGATGCGATACCGTCCAGTCCAGCACACGAATTGATAAATAAGAAATTAATATTATTATTATTAGTGATCGTAGCGCGAACTGGCCGCTGGCAACGCCACTGGGTCGCGGCGCCAGGCTGGTGGTGGAGCGCCTTACGGGATTACTTTATTACGAGATTTGCCTCGCGCACGTCACTAAAACGTCTAAATACAAAGCGCGCGTTATTCCGAAATGGCGCGCCACAAACGCGCGTAAACCGAGGATTGCCGGTATTCGAAACGTCCACGACGTCCGAAAAAAATTAGTCTGAACAGGTCGCTTGTGTTGTGGCCGAAACGTCGTGAGGATATTATTGTGTTCTTTTATTTTATCAATGTGTTATTTTATTCTCATTCTACGTGGTGACTTTACCGAAAGAACCAAAGAAGATGAATCCTTGCAGTCACGAAAGCTTTAAATCTAAATTTAGGTCTTCCCCTCCCCACCCCATCCTCATTCACCAACACGCACTCGCCAGGGTGAAGAAGAAGCAAGGCCAAACAACTTCGACACGTGGGGAAGGGGCCTCAAGTCGGCAGCGGCTGACAAGGAGACCATTTTTTTTATTCTCATACTTAGGCGGTCTATCGACCGTTTGTCAAATTGGCACTTGACATAAATTCAACAGCCTGAGGGAAGATGGCAATAACCACGTTGATACGATCGCTGTCAATACATGCATTGTAAAAAAAATAACCCTGAGGTAACACAAGCGGTCGTATATTTTTCCTTGTAAACGTTCAATGTTTTGTCCAAGATCGACGTGAAATATTTGTAACGCACTTCGTTATGAATCTACCCACGGCGATGGGCGAAGTGATATCCGAAGCAAGTTCTGAGATCCCGCCAGATTGTCACCAATGTAATCAAATGTTATATTCATATATACACAGCACCTTCACTCAAGGCGCTTGACATTGTTTAAAAAAGAAAATTGGTGACAATTGAATCATTTAGAGGACAGTGAAGAGAACCAGAATGTGCTGATTTATACTACAGGAGGAATCCGATGAGCTGTAAAGCTCTTTGTCACACATGTCCAGTCGGGGCACGGGCTCAGAACGTTACAGTACAAAACAAAAAACACAACAGAAGTGCAAAGTATAGGAAAGGTAAGCAAATCACCAAATGTATACAACTAAACTATTTCACTTTACCGGCTAGAACTCACTGAGCTTTACATATAATAAAGGAGCTTCCCGGCCACAATTGATGGGCTTGGTCGTCCAGTTGTGGACATTTCTACTTCTATAGCCACGACGGGCTGACGACCTAAGAGCCGCGAATTATTACATTTAGCAATTTTAACTCGATGACCCCCCACCCCCTCTCAACCCATCCCGTGAGTGATTTCCCCGCTAAAATTAGCACACGTCGCTCAGATCTCCCTGAGGCAGATGGAAATTCCACATTCCGATGGCGGCGGGTTGATGGGTGGTTCATCCATCGCACAACCACTGTTGAGGGGAACACAAGCGGTTGTGTGTGTGTGCCTGTGTGTGTGCGTGTGTGGTGAAAATAGCACGGACGTGCAGTGTGTATGTCCACGCGAACGTTAAACACATCACGAGTTCATTCGATTGAAGGGAAGAAACCAGCTAAAGCCTGACGTAGGCCCGAGCTGCCTTCAGACTTTTAGTTTCGATCGCTTTAACAAATTTCCGTGGTAAAACGAGGGGAACCGATTAGTCTCGGTCGATACATTTGTGTATAAGATGTAAAAGCGCGGGTGAAGTGGAGTAAAACTCACTCTGTCCCACTCCGAGCCGCCCAGCTTTCAAACTGAAAGTGGAATCAGAAATATGACGCTCACGGGTGAAACCAATTGATCACAATGTGAGGGGGCGCCCGGAAATTGTTACTAATTAAAGCCGCTATATCTTACGTTGTTTACCAGTTAAAAAACAAATCATTAATTTCTCTTTCTGTATTAATAAAATCTTAGCTATATTTTTATTAAGCCACGTAAGACGTTTTAATCTACTGTATATACAGAAAGCTTTAACCCCTACCCACACACACATTAATGGACTCAACTTGGCGCCTTTTACATCGTCAGTAACGATTCCATTAACTTATCGATTCCAAATTTATTATGTTAACAGTTAATGCAGTTGAATACCATTAAAACCCCCATGTAAATAAAAAAAATATGTATAATATTATATACTGTACTAAAGTTATCATTCAACAATAAAACAAAATCTGGTGATATCGTCGTCGATCCGGATAGGGTGACCGATTAATCGATATCGATATAACCTGCTGCTTGGAAGTAGGCCTGAACAATTTGGGGATAATATCTCATTGCGATTTTTTTGACAGATATTGCGATTTGATTTGCGATTAATTGTTTTAAGTCAAGCTGTGTAATAGATTTAAAACATGTGATGGAGCATTACCACGTGATACCATCAAAATATGAACTGCTCTATATATTCTCATGAGAACTTAAAATATATGAATTGCTTCCAACATGTATTTATTGAAATGTTTTAATTGAAAAAGAACAATAAAACATATAACAATTGTTAAGTTAAATAAAAAAAGCTATAACAACTAAAAATAAAATAATTCCAGCCTTTGCGATTTGCTAATCGCATTGTTTCAAATAACGATTTCGATTATAAATCGATTAACCGTTCAGCCCTGCTTGGAAGTACGCAATCGATTCGAGAAGGAATCGACAACTGGAATCTATTTCGCCACCCAGAATCTTGAGCATTGAGACTGCAGGAGCAATCCGATGAGCTATAAAGCTCTTTGTCACGGGTCTCACATTTAAAGGTACCGCTTCGAAAGTGGCCTCCCTGTTTGGATCTCTTTATTTGTGGGGATTATAAGACGCACCTAGCTTCATGTTTATTATTATTATAAGCGTCTTATAATCCGGTAGGATGTGTGTGTGTGCAAATATTTAACAAAAACGCAAATGTGCGCAGTTCAAAGTCGCATGCACAACAGCGCTCAGCCTTGCCCAGACCACCAACTCAATGTAAATGTGCGTCCGAAATGTGTCGTTGAGAAAGCACCGATCCAAATGGTTGGTCAAATGTGACCATCATTGCTGATTGACACCGGGCACTGGGTCTTATAATCCTAAGAATACCGTTTCATCCAGAATCAGAATATTCATTTACACTGCAGGAGGAATCCGATCAGCTATAAAGATATTTTTTTTATAATCACAGATGTCCAGTAGGGGCACGGGGTAAGAGCATTACAGCAACAGTACACAAACACGAGAATAGCGCAAAAGTATAAGAAAGTTAAACATATCACCCGTGGAGTTTTTCCCCTCCAAATTTAGAATCAACATCACGCGTTTAGAGTTATTTGGCTCCTGCTATCAATGTCCACGTGATGACATCCCAGTCAACCCATACGGTTTACCCGTATTCTTGTACAGGGAAAATGAGTTTTCAGGTCTAATACGGGCAAAACATTTTTGTTTGTGTTTCTCCCTCGTGATGTGACTTTGTAAGATGAACGTTGAGATTTATAAGCGCACGGGGTGACCAATAAAAGCTGAATAGGTCTGTAATAAGGTCGGTACTCATCAGTTTCATTTATTTGGTATAGCCCTGTGAGCCATTCGGCTCTTGAATCGGCTGCAACCGCAACAAACAAAAAACAAAAACATGAACAAGAAAAACATCTTAAAGTGACTTTGTGTGACTGTGCAAACAGAAAATCCAGGAAAAAAAACATCAAAATATTCCTGAAATAGCACCGTACACCAACGCGGTGTGCAAAAGTCCCAGTGGGATGCAAGTCAAACAACAACAACCACAAGACAACTAAGATTAAGGCCATCAGTCTAACTCCGTACTACAATAAACAAAAACTTGGCCAAACCTAAAAAACGTTTTCCAAATCACCAAAATAAAAGCCATGATGATGAGCCTACTGCGATTGAACCATCACTTTTGATAGCCAGGTCACCTCTGAAAAAAAAAATCTACGTCGCAGCTCAGTGGGACCTTACCTGGTAAAATAATAATAAAAACTGTTTAAAAGTTAACATACCGGTAGTTTAACTTTAAATTTGGGGTGGAAGAGGTAAAACCTCTGACCTGGCACCGCGTTTAACGAACTATCCTTTTCTGGAGGTAAATCCTCCGCGTGTGACATCGCCCCGCCCCCCGCTTTGGCGACCCGGTTCGGCCCCGGCAGCCATGGCCGCACCTGACGGCGATTCCCCTTCGCCCTCCTCATCCTCCTCATCATCCTCCTCATCATCGCCGCCTCGCTGCGTCCTCGTCTTCAGCGGGAAGAGGAAGTCGGGCAAGGACTTCGTGACGGACTCGCTGCGCGGAAGGTTCGCGATGATGAGCCCGGCCACGGATGCGCGCGACTCGAGCAAACATTCACCAACATCGCTTGGTGTGTGGTTGGTGTTGTTCTGTTTGTTGTTCTTCTGTGTTTGTTGTTGGTTCGTGGCTTGCTCCCTCCCCCCCACACACACACACCACCACCTCGTCCAGCAGTTGGATGGATCGCGCCGCCGCCAAGCCATTCGCGTGTTGCGTTGACCAGCAGCAACAGCAGCAATGTTACATTAGTAATAAAGGTGGTGGTTGTTGTTGTGGTTGTTGTTGTTGTGTTAGATCGCCTCGCTACGAACGCGTCGTTAGCCTCCCCTCCACCTGGAAGCGCATTATTAAGTTAATACACCTTACACGATTCCTCATAGAGGAAACACGTGCTAATTAACTGATGACTAATCTATGATATAATGACAATAGTCGCCCCCTGCTGCGCCTCTGACCTCTGCACCTGATGGGTTCAGTGACGACGTCGTCCTGCTGGTCCATTTGAGAGCTGAATCAGGTGGATGGCTTCACAGCACACCGGTGGGCTGTAGCAGTAACTAACTGGCGCGTTTGTTTACGTGACACTGCCATTACTAATTGGCCGTGTCGGGTGGTGGAGGGTTACGACACAGCGCGGATCAAGTATGGCCAAGTACACCTGCGGGAGACAACCCGCAAGGCCCCTCGGTTGGAGCGGCACACATCGCGGGTAGCCCCGTCCCCGAATCTCGTCGGATTCCTCACAAGCCAAGCAGGGAATTGGAGGCTGGATGATGAACATTGCTTTGTTCAGAGCGACAGCCGTGCATAACGGGTGCTATAGGCTCGAGAGCTATGGGCGGCAGAGGGGCATTGCAGCAACAACCATCGCTTTCCTGCGCCCCTGTATGTACGGTGCTTCATACCGCGTCAACCCATACGGTTTACCCCGTATTCTCGTACAGGTAAATCGAGTTCTAAGGTCCATACGGCATTGCCTTAGCGTTAGCGAGTTCGCAACTCGGTGCAGAGGCTCACGGTTGGGATCCAGCGGCCGCCCTGGTGACACCGGTGGCCATGCACGCCTCTCATCCACCACCACTGCGCGGGCGACGAGGGTTGGTGGATGGCACAAATGTCGTGTGTCGAGGAGCCATACCCTGGCTCGCCAGCAGAAGGCAGTAGAAGCAAGCGGACTTGTCACCGTCCGTTTTCTTCCGTACGGGGATCGAGCGTTGCCCCTCGCCGCTTTGCGCGCGTGGATTTTCTCCGGGGCGCTCCGGTTTCCTTCCACATGCAGTCACTCGTGAATTGTCTGAAAACATCTTCATATAGAGGCATGCCTGTCAACCCATACGGTTTCCCCTTATTATTGTACAGGGAAATTGAGTTTGTAGGTCCATACAGCCGTTTCAATACGGGCAAAAAAAATGTTGTCTTTGCGTTTCTCCCTTGTGATGGGACTTTGCAGGATGAACGTTGAGATTTATAAGGGCACGGGGTGACCAATAAGGTCTGGAGTGGTCTGTGATAGGGTAGGGCGCTAAGAGGTTGAAAGGTTTGGTATTTATACTCTCCCCACGTTTGTGCTGCTCCCCATGCATCACCGGCGTGGTGAAGTATGGCCAGATGACCCCCCGGCCACCCTCACGACCGTGGCAGCGTCAGGAGACCATCATCCAGCGGGCTACGTAGCTCTGGTAATTAATGCGTTAATTTCACCGGTTAATTAAAGCTGGCCTATTTAAGACCGGCAGTGGAAATTCCACATTTCCATGGTGGGTGGGGGGGGGTAAAGGAAAACTCCACATAACAGCCGCTGTTGACTCCCCCCACAAAGTAGGAACTTTCTGACCCGTCCCTAACTTTCTGACCCTGTGTCCCTGCTGAACAGCTGTGAAAAAGAGCTTCATAGCTCACCGGATTCCTCCAGTATAAATAAACATTCTGATTCTGAAGTAGTCCCCAATTTAGCTGCCCCAGAAGGTTGATGGGGTTGGGCATGCGGCTGACGGCAACATGGTTTGTTTAATATCAGTGAGCTGACAATAATGTCAACTCATAACGCAAGGTATGCGCTCGCTCTCCTAGAGAGAGGGGAGATGGAAAAGGGTGCGAGGATGACAGCACAGACCAACGGGAAGGCAGCAGCAGCCGGACAGGTGGTGTGAGACTTCACTACCAGCAATTGACCAAGCTCTGCCGTCCTCTACATATGAAGATGCTTTCTGCCAATTCAATGAGTGACTACACGTGGGATGAAACTGGAGCGAAGGGGACGAGCAACACTCGATTGCCGTACAGATTAAAACAGATGGAGACACGTCCGCTTGCTGTACTGCCTTCTGGCGAGCCAGGGTATGGCTCCTCGACACAACATTTGTGCCATCCACCAACCCTCGTCGCCCGCACAGTGGTGGATTAGAGGCGTGCATAGCCAACACCGCTCAGCTGGTGTAACCAGGGTGGCTGCTGGTATCCAACCATGAATGCCTGCACCAAATTTGCGAACTCGCTAACGCTAAGCAATGTCATAATTTGACAGGGCGCTGTCGGTTGTGAGATGTTAACTACCTCGCCTGGTATACAGTAGGTCGTGGGTTCGATCCCGACCCTGACTCCTGTATATTTGGAGCTTGCATGTACTCCCTGTGGTAGTGTGGATTTTTCTGCAAGTCCTCTGGTTTTTTCCTCCACATTTACAATCAACATGCGTTTAGAGTGTTTGACTACTACAAAATGTCCACGTGATCAACCACTTCATTGGGCTATAATTTGTGACCAGGTTGCTTCTGAAAAAGAGCTACGTAGCTCAGTGGGCCTTACCTAGTAAAATAAAAAAAAATAGTTTATAGTAGTTTTTATTTATTTCAGCATCATTCGTTCGGTACAATTTTAAATGATTGTGAATTATAATGATTGCTAATATTTATTGGATTGTAATTGTTGCGTATGTATTTTTAAGTTGACGCATATCAATTATACATGTATATATTAAGCTAGTCCTTAGCGCACCGAGTTGGGAACCTGGTGCAACCCATAACCACGGCCAACATCAGTGACGAGTGACAACCGTGCTGTGGAATCTGAAAAACCACCACGTGGGAAGTTGTGGTTGGGGGGAGAGAGGAGGGCGTGGGTTGTAAATGAATGAACGCAGCCACTAAAATAGATCTGATGAAATCATTAGAAATATATAATGTAATCATTAGAAATATAAAAAAATATATCTGATGAAATCATTAGAAATATATTAATATATATGATGAAATTATTAGAAATATATAATGTAATCATTAGAAATATCTAAAAATATATCTGAAATAATTAGAAATCTATAAATATATCTGATGAAATAATTAGAAATATATAAATATATGTATTATTAAATAATTGGAAGTATATACATATGTAGTGATGCACTTCGGAGACGGGGATCATTAAGGCACCTTTATTTTCACACGTCAGGGAACTACAAACGCCCTAAGTGCTTACACACTAGTCACACATCCATCTCATTCCAGCTAGTACAGTTGGCAGGCTGTCTAGCTAGCGGCATCTAAGGATGGTTGAGACGGTAGTGACAGGGATGACGAACGAATCTCACTCGCACGATTCCAGCAACAGCCCCGAGCTCTCGCCTCGGGCCCCCTTTTATCCTCCTGGCGTGGCCTCGCTCCGCTCTCGCCATGCCCCCTTGCTGGAACCCACTAGCAGGTTCCCGGCTTCCAAATGAACTCGTCCCCGAGCTCTTTAGTTCTCTTCACCCCCATATATGCTCTCTCTGCTGACGTGTATACTGCCTTCTGCTGTCAGTACCACTTTTCCGTCAGCAGCCAGCGTTATTAAACTACACATATATAAAAAATATATATCTCATGAAATCGTTAGAAAAGCACTCTGGGAAACGGCCGACAGAAAATATGCATTACACGTGAACCAGGTGTCTCAGACAATGGTATCTCACAATCTAGTTTTGATTGGTATGCACTGCACTATCAACCCGGTGATCTGGGTTTTTAGTTCCTGCCCACCGCTAACATAACTTGGTGCGTAACCGCATAATGCGCTCATGGGTTCTGGGCTCCCCCTGCCATCTCCCCTCCCCCCACCTTCAATAACTCCCACTAACCGTTGTGGTGAAGTATGGAAAATAATGCCCTAGACCGACACATTGTGCTTTTAACTGCTTTGTGTTTTTGGTTGTTTGTCCTTCCCCACAGCTCCGATGAGCACGGTTGGCTACGTACGGTACGAAATAAGTTAAACATACACACGCACGTATATCACTGTATTACTATTTATTTTGTGGATTGGAATCGGTGGAATTACCCAAATTGATTGGGTGTCTATAAGCAAATCACCCGGAATGCACCCAATCTCGTGAAAACTCGCAAGCTAAGCCGAATCGAGCCTGCACAGTGCTTGAATGGGCAATCAAAGTGCATTACAGTTTGAGTTTGACATCGGTCTACTGTTGTGGGCAAGCTGAGGGCATCGTGGCAAAATCCATTGATGTCTTGCTTCTGTGCTCCCAACGTCTTTGCAAGCTTGGTGAAGTGTGGTCAAATAGCTCGCACGACCCGTACGGCGGCGTGGGGAGGCCCTCATCCTGCAGTGCATTGACAGGAGGGCTGCCCGTGTACGTGAGTGGCGGTGGATCGTAGCAGAGGTCATAAATTAGGGTGATAAAATGTATTGGCCGGATTGCATGTGTGTATGTTGAACTTCTTTCACACCGTATGTAGCCAAGCGTGCTAATCGGGAGGTGTGGGGGGAAAGGACAAATTAAACGCAAAAAGCAGTTCTAAAGAAATTAGTTTTCAATCGAGATTACTTTAAAGTGCATAGCTCCAGTAGCTTCCTAATATTAGAAAGAAGAGCGTTCCAGAGAGCGGCCGATAACTGTCCTTGTTTGATGGCTAGCCAAAATCTGCTGCGAGGATGATCGGAGCTCACCTGATGGTTCGTGCCCCTTGACGGGATCAGCGAGGTACCGTGGTTCATTTGTGGCAAGCACTTTGTGTATAACGAATGCGACCTCATAATAATGTATTCGTTCGGCAACCGGAAGCCAATGCAGCTCAGCGAGCACTGGACAGAAATGGGTCAATCCACTGCTGCATGAAGGCCTCCCCTAGTTGCCGCCACCTCTCGCGATCCTTTGATGCATCAACAATCCATCCATCGTCTGCACGCGAACTAATCTCACTCGTGCCTTCTGCTTGGCATACATCCGCTCGGAAGTGTAATAGTAACCCTGGTTTTCCAAAATGCAAATCGTTCTCCCGAAACCGACTGTAAAATAGAAAACAACTCTGTGGTTACGTGGGAGGCCGCGGTAGCTTTTGTGTAAGTGATTACCATTGCAGAAAAAAATGCGTCTGATGGTAATTATGGGAAGACATTTGAGCCAACGCAACTTTCCTTATTCTTAGCCGTACGAAACTGAATGAGAAAAATGCTGATGGACAAAAAAATCTTGCGCCCTGTCGCATTTCATGAGAAGGCGAAATGTGAGCCAGACATTTGACCTTTTTAACATTCTCAAATCTGTAATCCGTGTGCTTCAGGTTAAACTAGGTATCTGGTGATGATGATGATGCTGCTCCTGCTGCATTGGCAGTGGTGCGCAATCGACAACAACAGCAGCAACAACGACAAGAAAACTCTTGTCCCTGCCAGTGCCTCTCTTCCTGCGATTCTGGCAAATCGCCCGATGATGCTGGATGTGATTACCAGCGAAACGTCGTACTACTCAAATTGTAAATGTTGTGGATTTATTCTCCAATACACCGGTGGGCTGAAGTAGTAACTATTTGGCGTTTTGTTTACGTGACAGATCCCATACTAATTTGCTGTGTCGGGTGGTGGAGGGTTACGACACATACTTATGCCAAAAACCTTTTTTGTGAATAATATTGGTCGCGAAAGCCTACGTGTTAAACTTTGATTCTCCGTTCACAGAAAAAAAATACTTGCATTCTCATCACGCGCCACAGTGCAAACAAGTGACACTCTCCAGCCATTACCTATCCACTCTCTCTGTCTACTGACAGCCTCTCTATATACCATGAAGAAGGGCCTTTGCCCGAAACGTCACCTATTTTTTTCCACCTTTTAAGGCGACACACAAACAGCACATGCCAGGTAAAGGTACATGCTTATGAAAAAGACTATTGCCTGGAAAGTTGCCGGAGATTTCTTGTTTTCTCATTTTAAGGCCACAAAAACAAAGATCCCCCTTCTAGCCTGTAACAGACTGTTGGGGCAAATGCTGTTAGCGAGCACCTATGAAGGCCGTTGCGGCACACGAGGGGGTGAGTGGCCAGCACCACGCACACGCTCACACAGGTGCATGTGCCGAGTTATTCTGGGGTTCACGTAGGTGTCACGTCAATCAAGCCCATAACCGTCCACTGCCAGACAAAAGCCAGCAGGAAATATTTGTTAATTGCCAAACTTTTATATGAATAGGTTTTACCCCTTCCTGGCAATAAAATAGGAAGTGTCACGATGTTCAAACACCAAACAGAACCATTTTACAAGGAATCATGTCTGCAGTAACCACACATACTTGTGAAAATTCAAACAAAAACAAGGTAAAAAAAACCTTTTCTTATACTTTACTGGCGAGAAAGGTCCCATGTTGGCAAACTTGAGCTTGGGGCTTTTCCGACGTAACCGGTTTTATTGCTGAAAAACAAAATCCATGGGCGCATTCACCCGTGACGCGACAACGCGATTTAACCTGGCCGTGTCGGGTGGTGGAGGGTGCACGGCTGTAATTTGCACGAGGGCCCGGCGACATTGCCCACACGATCGAAACCAAAGGAAGCCCAATTGTGAAGCCTAACGTTGGTCCCGAGAGTTTTTTTTAATTGCATAATTTCACCTGTGCATATACCCTGGGTACGTGCAGGTGTGGGCGGCAGCATGGTGGGTAGTGCCCTCCGCGATGAACCCGTGACCCGACTTCAATGCTGCGTCGTGGCAAACATCAGTGGGCGAGTGACACCTCTGATTCCTGGGACCCCCACCTTCACAGAGCAGAATGGAGAAGTATGGTCAAGAACTCCTATTGAGGGGTGGTGGTATAGATGTTAACTCCCTCGCCTGGTATCCAGGAGGTCGTGGGTTTGATCCCGATCCTGACGCCTGCTGCTGTATATTTGGAGTTTGCGTGTTCTCACTGTGGTCGCAATGATTTTTCTCCGGGTCCTCCGGTTTTTCTGTCCACGTTTAGAAAAAATGCGTTTGGAGTATTCGGCTGATATAAATGTCCACACGATGGGCCTCCTCGTTGAGCTTTCACTCGTGGCCAGTCGCTTCTGAAAAAGAGCTAATATAGGTGGTTAAATAAAAATAAATGGTTTAGTTTAGAATCTGGCACTGTGAAGGCAGCAGTGAAGGTTGGTGGATCACACACACAGGAGAAGGCAGTACAGTAAAGTGCGGTCTAATAACGCATTCTCCTGCGGAGGGAGCTGGTAGGAACGTTGGGTTGCTCTGTCAATGGCCAGGGTCCACGGCGGCACCACCACGTGGTGTATTCCGCAAATATGCCCGACTGTGAGGGTGGGCACAAGCCGGCGTGAGTAGGTGAAACGTTGAGTTTTATAAGGGCACCACGGGGTGACCAGCCCCTCTCCACCCATCCCCACCCCTCCCACTCCCCACCCAGCCCCACCCTCCCCACCCAGCCTCCCCACCCAGCCCCTCCCCAGCCTCCCCACCCTCCCCTCTCCACCAGCCTCACCCCTCCATTTTTGGATGCAGGACTGACGGACACAATAATCCCCTGTGGGCTGGTGGTGTAACCAGGAAGTTCCTACCAGTGTCACCTGCCCCTTCTGACTGCACCACATCCTCGCAGACCAAGCCAACCTCGAAACAAAATTTTTTTTTAAGGTGCCACGGTGGCTAGATGTTAACCTCCTCGTCTGGTATGCAGGAGGTCGTGGGTTCGATCTTTATCCTGATGCCTGCTGCTGCTGTATATTTGGAGTTTGCGTGTCTCTCTCTCTCCATGTATTTGTCTCCGAGTCATCCAGTTTTTCCCTCCACATTTAGAATCGACATCCCGCGTTTAGAGTGTTTGGCTGCTCTAAATGTCCACATGATGATAAGCCACTTTGTTGAGCTATCATTTGTGATAGCCAGGTCGCGTCTGAAAAAGAGCTATACAGCTCAGTGGGGCCTTACCTGGTTAAAATAAAACAAGGTTTTATAGTTATCTGGCCCTGGTTGGGAATCATTGTCTCGGCTGTTTACCGAACCGTAAGCGCCGCGTTGCGTATCTTGTTATCGTTGCAGGCTGGGAGGAGACGTGTGTGCGATCCTGCGACTGTCTGGACCCCTGAAGAGCCAGTTCGCCAAGGTGAGTTCACTCGAGGGCGCTGGCTCTCATTGCTCGATCAAGTTGAGGAAAAGGAAGGGGGGGGGGGGGTGAATGTCGAGTGAAGCTGCAGCCAAAGTGTGAGCTCTGCACTGCTGTTTTCAAGGGATACAGTAGAACGGTGGCTCGGAGATGTTAACTACCTCGCCCGGTGTACGGGAGGTCGTGGGTTTTGATCCCGACCCTGACACCTGTAAGTTTGGCGTTTGCGTGTTCTCTACCATAGTCGCGTGGATTTATCTCCGGGCACTCAGTATTTTCCCTCCACATATAGAATCAACATGCGTTTGGAGCATTTGGCAGGTCTAAATTTCGACGTGTTAAGTCACTTTGTTGAGCTATCACTGGTGACCAGGTCGCTTCTGAAAAAGAGCTATAGTTCCGTGGGCCTTACCGAGTAATATAAAAATAGTTTCGTTTTTAGTTTAACTGCCACAGCGGTTGTAATGGTCGGAAGGACTGAGCTTGCGATCCAGAGGTCTCCGGTTCGATTCCGTGTCCCCGTGCGGCAGTTGAAACAATAGGAGCCATTTTCTTACATCTCCGCATCGCCCCACTCCACCGCCTCTGTCTCGCGAGCAGTCGAATTGAGTTTAGCACCAAAGTCGATCAGCAGGCCGCTTGCGGTGGGGTAAAGTGTGGGCCCCTCCGACCTCTACCAAGACATACCGGTCAGCGTGGAAGAGTAGGCCAAATACCCACTTAGAGTGGCTGTCTAGAGCTCCCTCCAGTGGTCACCAGCAGTGGCGCGATTAAGCAAAGCCAGCGCTCACCGCATTGATCGTTGTCTAGTGAAGCTGACACGGTTGTTCCAACTTCGTCTATCTTGTCCCGAGTGTCGACCTGCTGCTCAATGTGGTTGTGAGCATCGTTCTTCAAGTCACCGTTGAGCGAGCTGCAACATTAACATTCGGCGCGTTTCTGCACCAAGCGATAATTTTATTTGGCTGTGTCGGGTCTGTGGCGGTGGGGGGTGGGGGGCCTTAGCGACATACATTTGGTCCAGATTGTTACGTGGCCTAACCCAAAAACCAATTGTGAATCATGACATCGGCTGCAAGAACCTACTCGGTGTTCATTCTAGATTTGAAGCTTTCGTGACTGCAAGGATTTCATGCTCTTTGGTTTTATTCGGTAAAGTCACGTAGGTAAAATAAAATAAAAGAAAACAATTAAATCACGACGTTTCGGAGGCAACACAAGTCTCCTTCTTCAGGTGGAACAGACACAGCGGAACATCACTGATGAACATCACTGATGTTCCGCTGTGTCTGATGTTCCGCTCCGTCTGTTCCACCTGAAGAAGGAGACTTGTGTTGCCTCCGAAACGTCGTGATTTAATTGTTTTATTTTATTTTACCTACGTGACTTTACCAAATAAAACTTCTCGGTGTTCATAGTACAGGTTTGTTGGATTAAATTGCGTAAATTTGTCAATGTGTCATTAAACCCGCCACCACCAGACACAGCCATTTAGCAAGGTCTGTCACGTAAACAGAACGTGGCCAATTCGTCACTAGTACAGCACATAGATGTGTTGGAGACCCAAGCCTCAACATTTACAATCTTGAGTACGACGTTTCGCCAGTTATTAACAACCGGCTTCATCTCGGTGTTAAATGATTTAAACCTCAACGATTGTCTGCACCACGCGACCCAGTGCCCGGTCTGTCCTAAGGCCGCGTTATCCCGCCCCATGTCACGGTTCGTGGCAGGAGCACCGGCTGCAGCTGGACAAGCTGCTGGACGCGAGCGACTACAAGGAGCGCTACCGGGGGGACATGATCCGCTGGGGCGAGGCTCGTCGATCCGCCGACCCCGGCTTCTTCTGTCGACTGGCGACGCAGAGCGACGGGGCGCGGTGCCCCGTGTGGGTGAGGAACCCGGCCCGCCGGTGCCACCGCTAACGCCGCCGCGACGACCACCGCCACCACCGCGAACACCACAACCAACACCACCACCTACACCACAACCAACACCGCCACCTACACCGCCACCAACACCACCACCTACACCACAACCAACACCACCACCTACACCACAACCAACACCACCACCACCACCTACACCACAACCAACACCACCACCTACACCACAACCAACACCACCACCTACACCACAACCAACACCACAACCAACACCACAACCAACACCACCACCTACACCACCACCTACACCACAACCAACACCACAACCAACACCACCACCTACACAACAACCAACACCACCACCAACACCACCACCTACACCACAACCAACACCACCACCTACACCACAACCAACACCACAACCAACACCACCACCTACACCACAACCAACACCACCACCACAACCAACACCACCACCTACACCACAACCAACACCACCACCTACACCACAACCAAAACCACCACCTACACCACAACCAACACCACAACCAACACCACCACCTACACCACAACCAACAACACAACCAACACCACCACCTACACCACCACCTACACCACAACCAACACCACAACCAACACCACCACCTACACCACAACCAACACCACCACCAACACCACCACCTACACCACAACCAACACCACCACCTACACCACAACCAACACCACCACCAACACCGCCACCAACACCGCCACCAACACCGCCACCAACACCGCCACCAACACCGCAACCAACACCACCAACACCACCACCACCAACACCGCCACCAACACCACCACCACAAACACCACAACCAACACCGCCACCAACACCACCACCACCAACACCACCACCAACACCGCCACCAACACCACCACCACCAACACCACTACAAACACCGCCACCAACACCGCGGCCACGACCACCACCAACACCACGACCGCCATGGCCATTGCCAACACGGCCAACACCGCACCTCCTCGCTACCGACAGCTTTCAGCCACATCGTTCCACCAGTTCCCGCAGCTGATGCACAGTAACCACGCAGCCACCTCCCAAGCTCTGCCCTGACGGTCTCATCCCGCCCATCTGGCCTTAGGCCTTCTCTTCCCTTTGGCACCCGGGCTCGTTGGAGACCGCTCCGATTCCGTCACGGCAATCGCCCCTCCCCCCGCCCCCTGTCCTGCACACACGCGTCCCACCCAGTTCAGCCGCTCCGGCTAACACCGCGGTTTTGCGTGAATATTCGCCGTGAACATTTATCATGCGCCATCCGATTCACAGTGGACGCATACTTGTCAACCCCTTAGCAGTGTCTACCTTATTACAGACAAATTCAGGCCTTATTGGTCACCCCGTGCCCTTATAAATCTCAACGTTCATCCGACACAGTCCCATCACAAATAACTCTAAACGCGTCATGTTGAGTCTTTATTTGGAGGGGAAAAACCCGGAGGACTCCACGCGACCGCCGCAAGAGAGAGAAACGCAACCTCCAAATATACAGCAGCAGCAGCAGCAGGCGTCAGGGTTGGGATCATCACCACGACCTCCTGTGTACCAGGCGAGGTAGTTAACATCTCTTAGCATTTTGCATTGGGATCTGAGGATGGAGTGCCTGAAAACTCAATTTCCCTGTACAGGAATACGGGTAAAACCGTATGGGTTGACACGGTATGTGGACGCCAAATTTCCTGCGGTGTCATTCGCAAAGAGCGGCCCCTCGGGTGCCGGCATCTCGGTCTAAATCTTCGCCAAATGTTGAAATATTATGCCGCAAATCAAAGGTCACCTTTTCTCCGTTGCCAATTCCCGCGTCCTCCCCTTCCCTAACCCCTCCCCCCTCCTAGGCACCCTCCATCCTGGTCACCCGCTCCTCATTCCTTGCACTCCCCTGCCACCTAGATCACTTCCCTGTTTGTCCCGTTTTTGTTATCGTAATGTTACGCGCCGCCTCTTGATCGAGGGCTCTCTTCGTCGGAGGCGCTCTGTAAAGGGTCAAACGAGATAGATTCCTCGGCTGCGATCACGCACAAGCAGCAGGAGCAATCATCGCCTCCCACCGCAAAACCTCGGCGTACCCTGAAATATAGCAACAGCAATAACAATGGCAACGATAATCGTGAGTTTAACACGGAGTAGGCTTCCGCGACCAATGTTATCCATCGTAAAGGTTTTGCCCGATGAAGCCGATTGTAATCAGCGGCTAAACGTCACAGTACTCGTACGGTAAATGCTGTGGGTTTACTCTCCAACACACAGCCGGTTAGTGCTGAAAGAGTAACCAATTAGGCGCGTTGTGTTCACGTGACAAACCACTACTAATTGGCTGTGTCGGGTGGCTTGTGTGTATGTTGAACTTGTTTTGCACCGTACGCAGCCAACTGTGCTAATGTACGTATGTATGTTGAACTTAGCCAACCTTGCTAAAGTACGTATGTATGTTGAACTTCTTTCGCACCGTACACAGCCAACCGTGCTAATCGGAGGCGCTGGTGGCTTGTGGGTTAACGACACATTCATATTTCCGCGACATAACCCAGCAAAAAAAAAAAACCCGTTATTATGTTTGGCGACTACAACAACAATAATGATCAACGAGCTGCCGTTGTTTTGGTTCTCGCGCCGCTAGCGAGAAATTGTTTTTCCCTGCAACGACTCCGGGCGCCTGCCGCTGTCGCCGCTGCTGCCGCTCCCCGGGTGGCAGGAGAGCTTTGGGCTTTCTCGTTCGACAAGAAACAAGAACTCCACATCACCACCCCCGCCCAGCACGTGGAGAATGTTAACAAAACAAAAAACACATGCAGAGCTTTCCTGACCCCTCGCGCGATTACCGTAATATCTCACGTCACCCCCCGCCACGGCCACGATGGAAAGTCGTGGCAGTGGGGGGTGTGGTGGTGGTGGCGGCGGTGATGCTCGTGGTTGGGGTTTCTGGTTTTGTCCCAAATTTCCCAACATTGTTTTGGCTCCTGTCTCGTCGCCTCCGATATTGTGACGTCGTGTCGGTTGGCCCTCTTGGCAGAGGCGGGACTCGAAAACGTTCCAGAGTGGGGGGGGGGGGGGGTGGGGGTTGGGAGGACGACAGGGGTGGAGGGGGCGAGGGCTGTCCAGAAATGTAAAGCGTTTTATATCTGGGCTGCAGGATGTTGGCAGAAGTGGTCGTAAGACGCGTGCCTCACACCAAGAAATGCCTGGGTCCGATTCCCGACTAGGGCGTCTTTATGCATGGAGTCTGTATGATCTCCCCCTGTTCTACAGAGTGAGAGTGAGTGGAGTTTGTATGATCTCCCCCTGTTCTACAGAGTGAGAGTGAGTGGAGTTTGTATGATCTCCCCCTGTTCTACAGAGTGAGAGTGAGTGGAGTTTGTATGATCTCCCCCTGTTCTACAGAGTGAGAGTGAGTGGAGTTTGTATGATCTCCCCTGTTCTACAGAGTGAGTGGAGTTCGTATGATCTCCCCCTGTTCTGCAGAGTGAGTGAGTGGCGTTTGTATGATCTCCCCATGTTCTGCAGTGAGAGTGAGTGGAGTTTGTATGATCTCCCCCTGTTCTGCAGAGTGAGTGAGTGGAGTTTGTATGATCTCCCCATGTTCTGCAGTGAGAGTGAGTGGAGTTTGTATGATCTCCCCCTGTTCTACAGAGTGAGTGAGTGGAGTTTGTATGATCTCCCCTTGTTCTACAGAGTGAGTGAGTGGAGTTTGTATGATCTCCCCCTGTTCTGCAGTGAGAGTGAGTGGAGTTTGTATGATCTCCCCCTGTTCTACAGAGTGAGTGAGTGGAGTTTGTATGATCTCCCCCTGTTCTGCAGAGTGAATGAGTGGAGTTTGTATGATCTCCCTCTGTTCTACAGAGTGAGTGGAGTTCGTATGATCTCGCCCTGTTCTACAGAGTGAGTGAGTAGAGTTTGTGTGATCTCCCTCTGTTCTACAGAGTGAGTGAGTGGAGTTTGTATGATCTCGCCCTGTTCTACAGAGTGAGTGAGTGAAGTTTGTATGATCTCCCCTTGTTCTACAGAGTGAGTGAGTGGAGTTTGTATGATCTCCCCCTGTTCTACAGAGTGAGTGAGTGGAGTTTGTATGATCTCCCCCTGTTCTGCAGTGAGAGTGAGTGGAGTTTGTATGATCTCCCCCTGTTCTGCAGAGTGAGAGTAAGTGGAGTTTGCATGATCTCCCCCTGTTCTACAGAGTGAGAGTGAGTGGAGTTTGTATGATCTCCCCCTGTTCTAGAGTGAGTGAGTGGGGTTTGTATGATCTCGCCCTGTTCTACAGAGTGAGTAAGTGGGGTTTGTATGATCTCCTCCTGTTCTGCAGTGAGAGTGAGTGGAGTTTGTATGATCTCCCTCTGTTCTACAGAGTGAGTGAGTGGAGTTTGTATGATCTCGCCCTGTTCTACAGAGTGAGTGAGTGGAGTTTGTGTGATCTCCCTCTGTTCTACAGAGTGAGTGAGTGGAGTTTGTATGATCTCGCCCTGTTCTACAGAGTGAGTGATTGAAATTTGTATGATCTCCCCCTGTTCTACAGAGTGAGTGTGAGTGGAGTTTGTATGATCTCCCCCTGTTCTGCAGAGTGAATGAGTGGAGTTTGTATGATCTCCCCCTGTTCTACAGAATGAGTGGAGTTTGTATGATCTCCCCCTGTTCTACAGAGTGAGTGTGAGTGCAGTTTGTATGATCTCCCACTGTTCTACAGAGTGAGTGAGTGAGTGCAGTTTGTATGATCTCCCCCTGTTCTGCAGTGAGTGAGTGGAGTTTGTACTTTCTCTCCACCTATTCTGTACCGTTTGAATGTGACATTTCATATCATATCGTTTGAATGTGACATTTCACATCGTCTCCCCCCTCCTCCACCAACACCTGCCCCTAATCCACCCCTGACTTTGTACATCGGCATAAGCCCGACACGTCAAGCCTTGGCGCACGTGGCACTAACAGACTCACGTGGCACTAACAGACGCACGTGCGACTAACACTCGCGTGGAACTAACACTCACGTGGCACTAACACTCACGTGGCACTAACAGACGCACGTGGCACTAACAGACGCACGTGGTACTATCACTCACGTGGCACTAACACTCACGTGGTACTAACACTGACGTGGTACTAACACTCACGTGGTACTAACACTCACGTGGTACTAACACTCACGTGGTACTAACACTCACGTGGTACTAACACTCACGTGGCACTAACACTCACGTGGTACTAACACTGACGTGGTACTAACACTCACGTGGTACTAACACTGACGTGGTACTAACACTCACGTGGTACTAACACTCACGTGGTACTAACACTCACGTGGTACTAACACTCACGTGGCACTAACACTCACGTGGTACTAACACTCACGTGGTACTAACACTCACGTGGCACTAACACTCACGTGGTACTAACACTCACGTGGTACTAACACTCACGTGGTACTAACACTCACGTGGCACTAACACTCACGTGGCACTAACACTCACGTGGCACTAACAGACGCACGTGGTACTAACACTCACGTGGCACTAACACTCACGTGGTACTAACACTCACGTGGTACTAACACTCACGTGGTACTAACACTCACGTGGCACTAACACTCACGTGGCACTAACACTGACGTGGTACTAACACTCACGTGGTACTAACACTCACGTGGCACTAACACTCACGTGGTACTAACACTCACGTGGCACTAACACTCACGTGGCACTAACACTCACGTGGCACTAACAGACGCACGTGGTACTAACACTCACGTGGCACTAACACTCACGTGGTACTAGCACTCACGTGGTACTAACACTCACGTGGTACTAACACTCACGTGGTACTAACACTGACGTGGTACTAACACTCACGTGGTACTAACACTCACGTGGCACTAACACTCACGTGGTACTAACACTCACGTGGTACTAACACTCACGTGGCACTAACACTCACGTGGTACTAACACTCACGTGGGACTAACACTCACGTGGTACTAACACTCACGTGGTACTAACACGTGGTACTAACACTCACGTGGCACTAACACTCACGTGGTACTAGCACTCACGTGGTACTAACACTCACGTGGGACTAACACTCACGTGGGACTAACACTCACGTGGTACTAACACTCACGTGGTACTAACACTCACGTGGTACTAACACTCACGTGGCACTAACACTCACGTGGTACTAACACTCACGTGGTACTAACACTCACGTGGTACTAACACTCACGTGGTACTAACACTCACGTGGTACTAACACTGACGTGGTACTAACACTCACGTGGTACTAACACTCACGTGGCACTAACACTCACGTGGTACTAACACTCACGTGGCACTAACAAACGCACGTGCACGCACGTGGTCGGGGGGGGGGGAGGCGGAGGGGAGAGGATTTACGCAGAAAGGAAGCGCGGTTGGCGTGAGAGTTGACGGCTGATTTATCGAAGCGAGGTCCTTCCTGCGCCAGCGTTAGGATGGACCGGGAACTGGGTCACGTGATGACATATGCGCGCTCAGTTGCTGCTGGGAAGTCTGCTGCAGGAGGAGGTAGCTGCCGCTGCGACCAACGATGGGGGGCCCCCTCTTGGGGTTGTCGAACGGCGGGGTGGGCAGTAAACCCCGGTGCGCGTTTTCAGAATCGGTTGCTCCCCCCCCCCGCTCCCCCACCGTTCCGTGAGTCAGGATCCGGCCACCGATGATTCCGGTGGAAAGTTGGGTTGGTGCCAAACATGCTTGGCATGTGCGTGTGTATGTTGAACTTGAGCACCGCACGTAGCCAGCCATGCTAATCGGAGATGCGTGTAGATGTATGCCGCTGGGAATGAAGTTCGCAATGCGGTGCATTCACCGCTTAGCCACCGACGGTCTGACCACTGTGCCACTGTCTCTTCCACTGTGGGTGTCTACGTGAGTCTGTGGGTCTGTACGTGACCCTGTGGGTCTCTACGTGAGCCTATGGGTGTCTACGTGAGCCTATGGGTGTCTGTGAGTCTGTGGGTCCCTACTTTAGCCTATGGGTCTCTGTACGTGAGCCTATGAGTGTCTGTGAGTCTATGTGAGCCTATGGGTGTTTATGTGAGTCCGTGGCTCTCTACGTGAGCCTATGGGTGTCTATGTGAGTCTGGGTCTCTCCGTGAGCCTGTGGATCTCTCCGTGAGTCTGTGTATCTCTACGTGTGTGGACTGTGGTTTGAGGTTAGCAACCACAGTCGCTCTCGCGGTCAGTCTTCATTGTCCATCGGTGGAATAGAAAGAACGGCACAGTGGTTAGATCATCGGTGGCTGAGTGGTGAGTGCGCTGGACTATGAAATTCATTCCCAGACTAACATCAGTGGTGCATATCTAACCCCGCCCCCCCTCCGCTGGGCCTCCCCAAGGTGGACTCAGCCTTAAATGAGTACCTGATATGGGTGTACACACGACGGCACGCATAAGGGTAGCCAGACGTGGTGCGGATTGCACCGCACCACACCGCACCCCACACCACCTCATGCCCCTTTATAGGTGCTCGCTAACATCTCTTGTTGAAAAGTCTACACTGAACACCTCCGTCCGCGTCCATACAATGCGTATGCCACGCGCACATTTGTGTGTGTGTGGAAAGACGTGGCGCAACGGTTAGGGCACTACGTCACGAACCCGATAACCCGAGTTCGATTCCCGCTCACAGCCAACAGCAGTGACGATTTTCTGAACCGGTCCTGGGCCTCCCCCGGAGGTCGAACTCAGCCTGAAATGAGTACCTCGTGCGGTGTGCAGACGTCAGCAGTGTGGGGACAAAGGCGGCCGGGCGTGGTGCTGGCCACCCACCCCCTCGTGTGTTGTGCCGGCCTTCACAGGTGCTGCTCGCTAACAGCACTTGCCTGAACAGTCCGTGAAGGCTATGGGGGGGATCTTTGTCTGCGTGCCCGTGTTCGTACCGGGATGCCTGGCTCTGGCCACACCACGCCCTCGGCACTGGCTAACACCACTTGCCCCAACGTGAACTCTCATCTCCTTAGAGCTGCTTGTTGTTGTGTTTCGTTGCTTGTCCTTCCCGCGCACCTCCGCTTAGCACGCTTGGCTACGCTCGGTGCGACAGAAGTTCAGCGTATATACGTACAAAGGCTGCGGCGGGTCTTATCTTTGTTTTATTGACATGCACATTGTACCCTCCCTTTCCCCTGCTCCACCCTCCCTCCCTCTCCCCCCGGCCCTGCAGTTAATCAGCGACGCGCGACGCCGCTCGGACGTGGATTGGTTCGCTCGCCACCACGGCGCGGTCACGCGCACCGTGCGGGTCTCGGCCTCCGACGACACGAGGCGGAAGCGAGGATGGGTGTTCACACCAGGTGCGTTCGCGGTGACGCCATCGCCTCCATCACCATTGCCCCCACCGTAAATAAAGCGACAGTGTAACGGTCAGCGCTACGCTGCGCTACGAACCCGGCGACCCGAGTTCGATTCCCGCCCACGGCCACCCGACACCACCAGTGAGGATTTTCCGAACCGGTCATGGGGCTCCCCCAAGTCGACGCAGCCTCAAATGCGTACCTAGTGGCGACGTGAACAAAAACATCGCCACTGTGGAGATAAAGGCCACCCAGCCCCCTCACGTGCCCTGTTGGCCCTTCATAGGTGCTACTCGCTAACAGCACTTGCCATGACACCGCCGTCGAATCCTGCTGCTCCCTTCTCTTCCTCCGCCACCTGTGTGCGCGACGCTGCGGAGAAGCAGGGCGGGGTTCGCGATTGTTTCCCACGCTCGGACCGTCACCGACGTCCCCTGGGGCATCGGTGTCGCTGCTTGGCTGCCGCTCCGTTGTTATTCGCCACCGGCTGCTGTCCGTGACGCGTCCCGGCCACGCGGGGAGCCCTGATAGAAACTTGCACGATTGGTTCTACTGCCGCCCCCGGAGATAGTTGGCGTCTAACTGTCGTAATATGTAAATGCATTTAGTTGTAAAAGCGTCATTCTTTTATAAACTAAACTATTTTATTTTTTTACACACCAAGTAAGGAGGCCCACCGAGCTGCCTAGCTGTTTTTCAGAAGCGACCTGGCCACAAATGTTAGCTCAGCCAAGTGGCTCATCGTGCAACCAAATACTTTAAACGCGTGTTGTTGATTCCAAATGTGGAGGGAAAAACCGGAGGAGCCGGAGAAAAATCCACGCGAGCACGGGTAGAGAGACACGCAAATTCCAAATATACAGCAGCAGGCGTCGGGGTCAGGATCGAGCCCACGACCTCCTGTGCACCAGACGAGGTAGTTAACATCTCCTGGCCACCATGGCACCCCGAATGCTTAGGTTAGGCCACGTAATGCTTTGGCCAAATCTGTATCATAAAACCCTCCACCACCCGACACAGCCAAACAGATGAATAGTCGTTTAATCCTAAAGCACCTTTCGTCCGGAGATCGCAAAGTGCTGTTGATGCAAAAAAATAGAAATAAATAAAATCCTAACAAGGAAATTAAACCCAGTAAACTCCTACTGGAAGCGTGCAGGCTTGTGATAGGAACACCTTGCCATGTAGCATAAACACCCCAATGGTAAAGCTAAAGCATATTGAGCAACTGAAAAGACAACGGTGTTAAGGCGGGGGAGGGGGGTTTGAATGAGCTGAGAGTCGCGGCTTGGGGATCCGAGGTGGCATTGAGTTCCACAGCTTGGGGGCCACTCGGGAATCGGCCCAAGTCGCCCACGTCACGGGCACAGGCCTTTAACGACGCGGCAGTTTCTTAATGTTTCTGCTCGCTCACTCACCCACTCACTCACCCACCCACCCACTCGCTTAATCACCCACCCACTCACTCACCCACCCACTCGCTTACTCACTCACTTACTCACCCACCCACTCGCTTACTCACCCACTCACTCACCCACCCACCCGCTTACTCACCCACCCACCCGCTTACCAACCCACCCACTTACCCACCCACTCACCCACCCACTCACCCACCCACCCACTCGCTTACCAACCAACCCACCCACCCACTCACCCACTCACCCACCCACCCACTCGCTTACCAACCAACCCACCCACCCACTCACTTGCTCACTCACCAACCCACCCAGTCTCACAAAGACAAAGATCCCCGTATAGCCTTACCAGACTGTTAGGGCAAGTGCTGTTAGCGAGTAGCACCTATTGAGTGCTGGCACAGCACACGAGGGAGTGGGTGGCCATGTTTACACACTGCACCAGGTACTCATTGAAGGTTGAGTCGATATAGGAGAGGCCCAGAACTGGTTCAGATATTCTTTACTTTATTGGTTGTGCACGGGAATTGAACTCAGGTTAGTGGAACAGCGTGCTAACCACTGCAATACCAGACACTCACACACCTACTGACCGACCCAGACACTCGCACACAAACTCACTAATCCACTCACCCACTCACTCACCCAGTTACTCGCACTCCCACTCACTGACGCACCCACTCGCTCACAGGAAAGTTTTAAGGGCAGTTCTAACAACCATATTCAGCTCAATTATATTCACGAGGTTTTGCTTGCAACGCCACCAGGGCATCGTTAGGACAAGATGCAGGAAGCCCCAAGTATGATCCAGGATGTCAAACTATCCGTGTCACCTGACCCACCTTCTTTAATAGGTGTCATGACCAATCAGATGTGTGCTGGATATTAACCATGACAAATTAGGTGGTTGCATGGTCCAACCGAGGGCAGTCGCTCGGTAAGTCGCGGCATTGGCTGCGGTGAAAACCTACGCGCTACCCTCAGAGCATTCTGCGCTGCGTGTCTCTCGAGGGCAAAGAATAACTTTTAACGGGCGGCGGGGGACGTGGCATCGCGCTGGTAAACAATTTGCGCCGCGCGGCAAAAGAAGGGTCCAGGGTTCGATTCCTGACCGGGGGGGTGGGTGGAGGGGAGGGGAGGGGAGCGCCTTTCTCTTGCGTGGGTTTTGTACGCACTCACTGCCCCTGTTCTGCGTGCGTTTCCTCCCGATTCCCCCGGTGTCCTCCCATGGCTGAACCTCCCTCCCTCCCACCCACCCACCCACCCCCATACAATGAAACTGATCTCAGCCAAAACATCCCCAGTGCTGAAGAATTCCCTGAAAAATTCCTCAGTCAGGGTCACACAACAGCAGCGGCAGGCAGGCAGGCAGGCAGGCAGGCAGGCAGGCAGGCAGGCAGGCAGGCAGGCAGGCAGGCAGGCAGGCAGGCAGGCAGGCAGGCAGGCAGGCAGGCAGGCAGGCAGGCAGGCAGGCAGGCAGGCAGGCAGGCAGGCAGGCAGGCAGGCAGGCAGGCAGGCAGGCAGGCAGCACTTCCCTCTCATCTCGCTCCTCTTCTGCGAAAACAAATTTGGCAGGGACCTCTCCTGAAAATGTGTCTGGAGATGCTCCCATATAAAGCAAGCCGAATAATAATTTTCTAAAGTATTTATCTCGTAACGAATATCTGTACGGTGCAACATCTCGAGCCGTCGCCGGTCGCCCACGAAATAACCGAGTTCGGAGGGCTCCCCGGGCCAAGCCTCCCAGCTGCTGCTGCTGCTGCTGCTGAAATCGATGTAATCTCAAATCTAATCGTCGTACGATTCGTACAAAAAATGTTGGCAAAGGATTCAGTTTGGCCGAGTCCTCCGTTTGCCCGCTTCGGCAATTGTTTACTGCTGTGGTTGTTTCCACCTGATGACGGGCACTTGCGGTGCGCCCGAAACGTCGTGATTTAACGTATTTTGTACCGAAAGATCCAAAGAGCATGGGAAAGAAAAAGAAAAACAATGTGAAGAAAACAAAAAGAAGAAATAGAGAAAAAGGAAAACTGAAAGAAGAAAAATAAAAAATATAAAAGGAAAGAAAAATATAATAATAATAATAAAAGAAGGCATTTGCGACGGGAACGTCAAACTGTATTTATAACCGGAAAGGCAAGGGTCTGTTTGGCACATGTGGGGTGGGGGTGTCAGACAAAGCTATCTGGGTTCCCATAAAAATACCATAAACAGCAACGCCGCCACCGCAAACAATATCAACAAATCCGCGTTCTTATTGTCAAAGATTATAAAGAGCGTCAACGTGATCCTCGCTCAACTTTAAATCCTTCGCCGGAGCGCCGTTGCCTAGCAGCAAAGATAAAAGGTTCCCGTGTAACCTTCACGGACTGTCGGAGGCTGAGTGCTGTTAGGGGGTAGCTGATGTTGCTCATGAGCGAGAATCGAACTCTGTTCCTCCGGGTCTCTTTGGCGCAGCGCGCTAACCGCTGCACCATCGCAGCTCGCCCACCGACGTCCGCCATTCGCCACGAAGTCACGGTGACGGCGCCACGGCGCCTGCGCCAGGCCAGGTGCACCTTTGAGGCCGCCACGTGAAGTGTCGAAGGCTCTGTGGCAGGAGGGCGTCACGGGACAGACCCAGCAGGTGCCATGGGTTGACTGAGACGACCGGCAGATGCACCACCAGCTGTTCCCCCTACTGTGCCAACTTCTTCTGCCAAGCGCCACGGTGGAAACAACAAATTAGATTGACCCCGTGCTGGAGCTCGCCTACCTACGCACGCGCGATTAAACTCGTCCACGCCGTCACCATCGCGGAGTCAATAACTGCTCTAAAGAAAAATATCCGCTTCCCACTCGAAGGAGAGTTGAGGCATTTGGCTGTGACCTCTCGGGCAAAGTCCCTGGGCATGCGGTGGAAATTCCACATTCCTGTGGCTGGGGGGTGGGGGGGGTGGGCGGCGAGTATCGGTGAGGGATGATTGGCCGGGTCTTCCCTCTCGTCCAGGAATCGATCTCGCGGACTCGCAGCCGCCGATGTCGGCCGCGGTCGGGGATCGAACTCGGCTCGCCGGGCCACCTGCCTGGAAAAATCCGCGAGCAGGCGATCGTTATCGAGCCGCGGGCGGAGTGGTGGTTGGCACGCCGCACGCTATGGACCCGGCGAGCCGAGTTCGATCCCTGACCGTGGCTAAGCATTGGCGGCGAGCGATTTCTGATCCGGGCCTCCACCGCGCCTATGACCTGATCCCGTCGGATCTCGCAAGCCTAGCGGGGGGTTGAGGCCGGATAGAATTGCTTGAATGAGTGACCCGTCGTGCATGGCAGGTGCTTTAGGCTTTCTAGCTATGGCCAGCGAGAGAGTGGTGCAGCAACAGCCATCGTTTTACTGTACAGTACTTGTATGCTCCCCAGGTGTGTGTCCTCCTCCCCACGCATCACCAATGTGCAGTAACCGGTGAAGTATGGCCAAACAATCCCCTCTGACCCTTGCCGCGGGGGTAGTAGGATTGACAAAACGACTACTTGAACGTAAAGATTCGTTGGCGTCACGTCGTCCGTGTACGAGTTAATTCTTTACTTTTAATGCAGCGGCAACAAAGACAAAGATCCCCTCTATAGCCTTTAACAGACTTTTGGAACAAGTGCTGCTAGCGCGTAGCACCTGTGAACGCCGGCACGGCACACGATGCAGTGGGTGGCCAGCACCAGGCCCGCCCGCCTTTCTCCCCCCAGTGGCGATTGTATTCACGCACCGCACCAGGTACTCATTTCAGTTTGCGTCGACCTAGGGGAGTCCCTGGACCGGTCCAGATGATCGGCAGTCACTGGTTGTTGGTGGTCGTGAGCGGCGATCGAACCCGGGCCACCGGGTTCAGAGCGCAGCGTGCCAAGCGCTGCCGCTCCCCACGAACGCTTGCGGCCCACACTGAATCACCAGCGGAGTCAACCTGTCCGGCTCGCAATTGATTCGCGCATTAAGGCCGCGCAGTGATGTGGCCGAATATCGGACTTCTCGGGTCGTTCCCTCTTGCGAGACCTTGTCCCGGAGATATGCTTGGCGCTGTTGGAAGTGAATCGCCGCTCGTTGAGCCGCTGCTAAATGCGGCTTGCGAGGAGGATCCGTCTTCGAGCCGCACCGGCCAGTGAGCTGGACCGATAAAAAAAATAGCCGGAGCGCGTTTTGCTTTTGCACGGTGCGGCGGTAGAATTTGTGTTGCCGCGTTTAGGGGTCTTGACGTCAACAAATGCGGCCACATCGCTGCGTGGCCAAGAATGAATTCCGAAATGAAAGTAAAATATTATTGATGAACATGAAGCCACATCGCCCCTTACTTGCAGACTAATTACCGTTTACAATACAGGTTTTTTTTGGGGGGGTAGATCGCGGAAATATAAACCCGCCACCACCCGACACAGCCAACTAGTAAGGTTTGTCACGTAAACAGAACCTGCCAGTTCGTTACTCGTACAGCACACCGGTGTGTTGGAGACGAAAGCCACAACAAAAACACCTGTATTATGGATGATATTGGTCGCGAAAGCCTACGTGTTGAAATTCCCGTTTGCGGTCCGCTCCAGCGTACACCTTGAGTCACAAAGGGACAGCTGCCGCCGGGGGTTCCCTTGGCCAGATTGCAGCAGGGCATTGAAACGATCGAGATGAGACGTCAGCCGCTCTTGAGTTGCTGAGGCTTCCAAGCAATGCCCTGTACATGCAAATCCAGGAAGTTAGAATTAAATGCAGGAAGTCAGAATAACCGTGTCACCTGACCCCCGACTTCTTAAACAGGTGTGATGTATGGTATTTCTACATACGTGACTTTACCGAAAAAAACAATGAGTAATTTATGCAGTCACGAAAGCTTCAATTCTTTATTAGGTGTGATGTACATATGTATGTTGAACTTCTTTCGCACCGTACGTAGACAACCACGCTAATCGGTGGTGCGGGGGAAGGCGAACAAGCAAGCGCAACGCAAAAAGCAGTTCTGAAGAAACGAGTTTTCAATTTGGAATTTTTTTTCAATTTCGACTGAATCTGATGGATTCAATTGAATGTCAATCGATGCTAAGGACACAAACTGCCTTTTGTCCGTGCAGGGATCGACGACATGGAGTCGGAGTGCGGCCTGGATTCCGGAGTGCAGTGGGACTGGAACATCCGGAACGACGGATCGGACGGCGACCTGGACTCTCAGCTGCAGGAGATTTTGAGTCACGTGGAGCTGCAGCTCGGGAGCTGACGAAACGCGTGGCACCATGGCCTCTCGTCGTCGCCCAAGGTCCCCCCCCCCCCCCTCGTTGATTTGCACGGCCACTGCTGCTGCCCTGCCCCGCCCTGCCCCGCCCTGCCCCGCCCTGCCCCGCCCCGCCCCGCCCTGCCCCGCCCCGCCCCCAGTCCCTATCCAATGAAATCGTGCAGTGCGAGAAACACTGCACTTGGAACGGGGCGACCCGAGTTTGATTTCCGGCCGCGGCTGACATCGGCGGCGAGTGATACGTGAACTCCGGTCCTGGCGTACTCCACCAACCCTTCACTCGCCCTTCACCAACCCTTCACCCGCCCTTCACGAACCCTTCACCCGCCCTTCACCCGCCCTTCACGAACCCTTCACGAACCCTTCACGAACCCTTCACCCACCCTTCACCCGCCCTTCACGAACCCTTCACCCGCCCTTCACGAACCCTTCACCAACCCTTCACCCGCCCTTCACCCGCCCTTCACGAACCCTTCAACCCGCCCTTCACGAACCCTTCACCCGCCCTTCACCCGCCCTTCACGAACCCTTCACGAACCCTTCACGAACCCTTCACCCACCCTTCACCCGCCCTTCACGAACCCTTCACCCGCCCTTCACGAACCCTTCACCAACCCTTCACCCGCCCTTCACCCGCCCTTCACGAACCCTTCACCCGCCCTTCACGAACCCTTCACCCGCCCTTCACGAACCCTTCACCCGCCCTTCACCAACCCTTCACCAACCCTTCACCAACCCTTCACCCGCCCTTCACGAACCCTTCACCAACCCTTCACCAACCCTTCACCCACCCTTCACCAACCCTTCACCCGCCCTTCACCAACCCTTCACCCGCCCTTCACGAACCCTTCACCCGCCCTTCACCAACCCTTCACCCGCCCTTCACCCGCCCTTCACGAACCCTTCACCCGCCCTTCACGAACCCTTCACCCGCCCTTCACGAACCCTTCACCCGCCCTTCACGAACCCTTCACCCGCCCTTCACGAACCCTTCACCAACCCTTCACGAACCCTTCACCCGCCCTTCACGAACCCTTCACCCGCCCTTCACCCGCCCTTCACGAACCCTTCACCCGCCCTTCACCCGCCCTTCACCAACCCTTCACCCGCCCTTCACGAACCCTTCACCCGCCCTTCACGAACCCTTCACCCGCCCTTCACCCGCCCTTCACCAACCCTTCACCCGCCCTTCACGAACCCTTCACCCGCCCTTCACGAACCCTTCACCAACCCTTCACGAACCCTTCACCCGCCCTTCACGAACCCTTCACCCGCCCTTCACGAACCCTTCACCCGCCCTTCACGAACCCTTCACCCGCCCTTCACGAACCCTTCACCAACCCTTCACCCGCCCTTCACCCGCCCTTCACGAACCCTTCACCAACCCTTCACCCGCCCTTCACCCGCCCTTCACCAACCCTTCACCCGCCCTTCACGAACCCTTCACCCGCCCTTCACGAACCCTTCACCCGCCCTTCACGAACCCTTCACCCGCCCTTCACCAACCCTTCACGAACCCTTCACCCGCCCTTCACGAACCCTTCACCCGCCCTTCACCAACCCTTCACCCGCCCTTCACGAACCCTTCACCCGCCCTTCACCCGCCCTTCACCAACCCTTCACCCGCCCTTCACGAACCCTTCACCCGCCCTTCACGAACCCTTCACCCGCCCTTCACTCACCCTTCACCCGCCCTTCACCAACCCTTCACGAACCCTTCACCCGCCCTTCACGAACCCTTCACCCGCCCTTCACGAACCCTTCACCCGCCCTTCACCCGCCCTTCACCAACCCTTCACCCGCCCCTTCACGAACCCTTCACCGCCCTTCACGAACCCTTCACCAACCCTTCACGAACCCTTCACCCGCCCTTCACCCGCCCTTCACGAACCCTTCACCCGCCCTTCACGAAACCCTTCACCCGCCCTTCACAAACCCTTCACCCGCCCTTCACCCGCCCTTCACCACCCTTCACCCACCCTTCACCAACCCTTCACCAACCCTTCGCGAACCCTTCACCAACCCTTCACGAACCCTTCACCCGCCCTTCACCCGCCTTCACGAACCCTTCACCCGCCCTTCACCAACCCTTCACCCACCCTTCACCAACCCTTCACCCGCCCTTCACGAACCCTTCACCACCCCTTCACGAACCCTTCACCCGCCCTTCACCCGCCCTTCACGAACCCTTCACCCGCCCTTCACGAACCCTTCACCCGCCCTTCACAAACCCTTCACCCGCCCTTCACCCGCCCTTCACCAACCCTTCACCAACCCTTCACCAACCCTTCACCCGCCCTTCACGAACCCTTCACCAACCCTTCACCCACCCTTCACGAACCCTTCACCCGCCCTTCACCCGCCCTTCACCAACCCTTCACCCGCCCTTCACGACCCTTCACCACGCCCTTCACCCACCCTTCACGAACCTTCACCCGCCCTTCACGAACCCTTCACCCGCCCTTCACCAAACCCTTCACCAACCCTTCACCCGCCCTTCACCCACCCTTCACGAACCCTTCACCCGCCCTTCACGAAACCTTCACCCGCCCTTCACGACCCTTCACCCGCCCTTCACCCACCCTTTCACGAACCCTTCACCCGCCCTTCACAAACCCTTCACCCGCCCTTCACCCGCCCTTCACCAACCCTTCACCCACCCTTCACCAACCCTTCACCCGCCCTTCACGAACCCTTCACCAACCCTTCGCGAACCCTTCACCCGCCCTTCACGAACCCTTCACCAACCCTTCACCCACCCTTCACGAACCCTTCACCCGCCCTTCACGAACCCTTCACGAACCCTTCACCAACCCTTCACCACCCTTCACCAACCCTTCACCCGCCCTTCACCAACCCTTCACCCACCCTTCACCAACCCTTCACCCACCCTTCACCCGCCCTTCACCCGCCCTTCACGAACCCTTCACCCGCCCTTCACCCACCCTTCACGAACCCGTTCACCCGCCCTTCACCCGCCCTTCACGAACCCTTCACCCGCCTTCACCAACCCTTCACCCGCCCTTCACCAACCCTTCACCCGCCCTTCACCAACCCTTCACCCGCCCTTCACCAACCCTTCACCCGCCCTTCACGAACCCTTCACCCACCCTTCACGAACCCTTCACCCACCCTTCACGAACCCTTCACCCGCCCTTCACGAACCCTTCACCCGCCCTTCACCAACCCTTCACCCGCCCTTCACCAACCCTTCACCGCCCTTCACGAACCCTTCACCCGCCCTTCACGAACCCTTCACCCGCCCTTCACCCACCCTTCACTCACCCTTCACCCGCCCTTCACCCACCCTTCACGAACCCTTCACCCGCCCTTCACGAACCCTTCACCCGCCCTTCACCAACCCTTCACCCGCCCTTCACGAACCCTTCACGAACCTTCACCCGCCCTTCACGAACCCTTCACCCGCCCTTCACCAACCCTTCACCCGCCCTTCACCCGCCCTTCACGAACCCTTCACGAACCCTTCACCCGCCCTTCACGAACCCTTCACCCGCCCTTCACCAAACCCTTCACCCGCCCTTCACGAACCCTTCACCCACCCTTCACCCGCCCTTCACCCACCCTTCACCCGCCCTTCACGAACCCTTCACCCGCCCTTCACCAACCCTTCACCCGCCCTTCACGAACCCTTCACCCGCCCTTCACCAACCCTTCACCCGCCCTTCACGAACCCTTCACCCACCCTTCACGAACCCTTCACGAACCCTTCACCCGCCCTTCACGAACCCTTCACCCGCCCTTCACGAACCCTTCACCCGCCCTTCACGAAGCCGTACTGCTGACCAGGGTGGCGAAGTACGGTCAGACGATGCCACCCTGTATCCCACCAACCCACCAGCGCGCACCGCATTGCGCGCGCTGTCGGATGCGGTTCTGCGGCCGACTGGAACTCTCTTCCTTCCGATGTTAGGAAACCACTGGGAGCTGTGCACTTTGAGATCATCATCAAGATTGTAACACCCATGTCTTTAGAACTGCTTTGTTGTGTTTCGATTGTTTTCCCTCCCGCACCTCCGATTAGTTATGGTTGGCTACGTACGGTGCGAAAGAAGTTCAGCATACGTACACACCTGGTGACGTACCGGTTAGGCCTTCAGCAACGAATATATAAAAGGACCTAAAATTATTGTTATTTATAGTTGTGTTACACTTGACACCTCAGTGACTCTTGATCAAAGTGGTTTCTCATTTCAAGTTTGCATGTGACCTCATCCTCCAGAGAAAGTGGTGGAAATCCCACATTCCTATGGCGGGTGCTAGTACATCCGTGACATCGGTGTGCGTTCGTGGTTGTATCGTGTGGTAACCATCGAACAACACCTCCACCGATTGCCTTGCCAGACGGAGACAGCTGCCACTCTTGCCATGGCAGCCTGTGCCGGAAGGGCAGCCGGTAATCAATTAAAGAGAATATAATTTTAAATATGCACTTTTCCGCTTCGTGTTCGTACGGTCGGGCAGGACGTCCGACGTTTCGCGTCACGTGCCGGGAGCTTCATCAGGAACCGTTGATTCAAACTACAATTCGGTTAAATTTTGATTTAAAGCTTTCGTGACTGCAGTAATTCATATTCTTAGTTTTTTCAACGTGACTTTACCGAAAAAACTAAGAATAGAATTCGGTTGCTGAAAGAAGCCCCCCGGCGCTGGAGCGAAACGTCGGACGTCGTGCCGAGCAGCGCGCGGGGTGCGGACCGAATCGACGTCAGAGAGAGAGCGGTGCAGCAGCAGCTGAGACGACCTGCGCAGTGGCATCACACGCAGCGCACTCACACACATACACACACACAGATCATACACACACACAGATCACTCACACACAGATCATACACACAGATCACTCACACACATACACACACACAGATCATACACACAGATCACTCACACACAGATCATACACACAGATCATACACACACAGATCACTCACACACAGATCATACACACAGATCACTCACACACAGATCACTCACACACAGATCATACACACACAGATCACTCACACACACATACACACACACAGATCATACACACAGATCACTCACACACAGATCATACACACACAGATC